ATCTCCGCAAACAATTCGCACGGCGCCACAGCGAGAGCGATCCGACACGCACAATCTCCGCAGAGGGTTCGTCCGCGAGCTTTGAGATTCGCACGGCGCCACAGCGAGAGCGATTCGACACGCACAATCTCCGCAGAGGGTTCGTCCGCGAGCTTTGAGATTCGCACGGCGCCACAGCGCAGCGAGAGCGATTCGACACGCGCAATCTCCCGCAGAGGGTTCGTCGGCGAGCTTTGAAATTCGCACGGCGCCACAGCGAGAGCGATTCGACACGCACAATCTCCGCAGAGGGTTCGCGGGCCACGTAAAAAAATCGCGCGGCGCCACAGCGAGAGCACTCCGACACGCTTGATCGCCGCAGAGGGTTCATCCCCCCAGCGCCCGCCAGACCCACCCCCGGCTAAGAAAGAAGATAGAATTTAAAGGCTGCGAGCTTCGGCTGGGTCAGTAAAGCTGCGTAAGCTAGGCTGTTTAAGTCAGGCTGCGTAAGCTAGGCTGTGTCAGTCAGGCTGCGTAAGCTAGGCTGTGTAAGTCAGGCTGCGTAAGTCAGGCTTCGTCAGTCAGGCTGTGTAAGTCAGGCTGCGTAAGTCAGGCTGCGTCAGTCAGGCTGCGTCACTCAGGCTGTGTAAGTCAGGCTGCGTAAGTCAGGCTGCGTGAGTCAGGCTGTGTAAGTCAGGCTGCGTAAGTCAGTTTGAGTAAGTCAGCTGTGTAGTCGGCAACCGTTTCTTCCAAAGAACCCTTCGCGATGCTTTCGGGAAAAAGGTAACAGGGAACTACTCGGGGACCTGGCTACATTCAAGCCAACTAAAGGTCCGTCGGTCCGTCGTCGCCGGGCCTCACATGCATGCGAGCGTCCATTACCCGCCGGACCACTGGGTCCGCCTGGTGTCTCTCTCACGTGCGGGCACAATTCAGATTGACCAAGGCAACTTTCGGCTTTCTGATAGAAGTGGACCAGAGGCCTCAAAACGGAAGTCTTCCAACATCCTTTGGCTGGACTTGACAGGGTATCAGAGAACTTGTAGGACGATTCTTTGGCACTTTCTCGCTGGCAAACCAATCGCATGGATTCCCCTACTCTCAGGTTGTAGAATCCAATGCAACTTTCGAGGATAGGCCTGGATCTCTTTCTTTGCAGCCATCCCATGCATTCGAAGTGGTCGGCAATGGGGAAGGTGCGACAACGTGTGCCCTCTCCCCCCCCTAAAATGGAGGGATACAAACCCAAAGTGGGCTGAAGGAGTTGAGCTGCGCGAAAAGAGCCGAGGGTCTGGGCCCTCAAACTGCCGAGAAAAAATGAGATAAACCAACTATAGGTCCTCCAGCAGAGAGCTTAGAATAAGGGTACCAACTTTCATCTGCAGTCTATTTTAGTATAGGGGAAACCCCCCCAAATGGGGGACCTAGCCAAGAGTTCTGTGTTCCTTCCGTTTCAGGCTGGTACTCACAAGTTTTTGGCATGTGCCTTGCCAGCCGCGGCCCATCGTTTGTCCCCGAAGGCAGCATCGAAGGTGGAGACGACATCAATGCCAGGAAGTGGCAGGCGAGGAAAGAATCTGGACCTTGGGCTGGTTAGCCAAGTTGCTGGTTTTGGGGGTAAAGTGGATGGACAAAAAGCAGCAACTGGCGATCCAGGAGGGTGTTTCCAAGGCTTGGAAAACCCCCCCTTGATCCTTCTCAGGGTCCTTGGAAATGTGCTTGTTCATCTGGTTGTTGGCCTTGTTTTTCTAGACTAGTTTTTGATACATTCCGAGGACCCTGCGTTGTGAAAGGGAAACCCACAGCGCTGCATGTGTTTCCTGATTTTGAGACAAACCCAAATGGGCAAGGGTCAGAATTAAACTACCAGGAGACCGCGGGATTTAGTCCTGGCTCGCATTTACCAGGGTTCCATGTTGGGGTTCTGCTAAACCATACTGGTCCTCCGCTTCTTTGCCCAGCATTTTCACCAGCGACTGCCTTGTTGCCACTCCCCACTGAGGAACGCACAGAATCTTGACGATTCCGACCTGAGCTTGTGTCGCTAGGTGAGGGGAAGAAATGGACACAGGGCCGGCAACATGTATTCTCAGACCAACATGGAAGCTTTTACAAGGTCTCTGCAACTGGAACCCAAGTCTAAACCATTTCGGGGTCCCTTCGCGAGCTTTCATGGAATCGCCTGGAGGATACTTGCATTCAGCAGCTACATTCAGAGCACTTCCATGAACTTCCAGGCTTTCAACTCAAGACCCGAATGCTCTGAACGCACAGAAACCACGGCGACATGCCATGGCCGCAAACCTGCGCTTCGATCCGAGTGCCCTGCTACACAAGGTGGCGGGATCCTCAAGAGTCGCGAGTCGCTCGCCGCACTTGGAATGGTGTCGTGGCCGGGCACCTCTAACATGGGAGGGTTTCCTTCAAAGGGTAGCCGCAAAGCAACCGCCCTCCCACTTCTACCCTCCCACTTATCAAGGGGAACGGTGATGTTGGGGGTACCCACTTGTATTTTTCAAGGGCTGGGGATAACTGAATACGAGCCGAATTCCAATGAACTGGCGCAAATGCAAAGGCTGTGGGGCACTTCACAGTCAGCCACTCCTGTTTGTCCTCCGACGTCAGCAAGCAAGGGATTCTCCACTTGGTCTAAAGTGATTTGCACAAAGCATAGATCACACACCTGCTACTGTGCAGTCCAGCGGCATCTCCTGTTTGATTTTCCTGGGCGATCGGTACCATGTGGCGTTCAGGCGGCGGTTGTGGGCAACTGAAAGGGGTCGTCTTCATGGAATCGAAAGAAGGCTTTCCCTGGGCTGGCTGTGGGTTGGCACACGCTCAAACGTCGGTCTCGAAGTTTACGGCCGATGAAGTGGAGTCTTGTGCTTTAACAAAGAAGGACACCCCGTGGTCCATTTGTTGGACCTGCCCATGTGAGAATCTCAACTCAAATGCCCAAAGGACCAACAAAAATAAAAGCGGAAAAACAAAAAACAACCTTCTAGAGACGGCACCAAAAAATGCACCAGCAGGTAGCGAAGAGGTGAAAAGGTCGATTCGCAATTTGGGCATGGATCAAAATTAAACCACCAGGGGACCGCAGGTTTTGGTCCATGTTTCCATTTACCGGGGTTCCATTTTGGGTACATATTTTTGACCCGCAGCCATTTGGACACCGCCTGCTTCGCTCTCTCTCTCTCTCGGCGTTTCGTGGCGAGGAGCACCAAAGGACCGCTCAGCAAGTAGCCTTCGGCAGGTCCGGGGGGAAGTCCCGCAGCGGCCCTCGCAGGCATGGAGAGGAGTTCTGAAAGGCAACTACCCTAGCATGGAAGTGCACAGACCCCTGTAGAAACTCGGTTGCTTTCTGCTCCCCTGCGAAAAGTTTAACTTTTAGTGGTTTAATGGAAAACCCATTCGTTGGCAAAAAGTGAAAGTCCTAACATCTAAGCAACATGCACCAAAGGAAAGACGACTTTCCGCCTGAAAGGGACAGTGCCCCGACAATGCCCCGAACTTGGCAAACATCTGCGCCTCTTGTTGCTGCTGATCCCGTTTTGTTTAACAGGGAAGCCACGAACTGCTTTGGCATTTCCAGAATGGTTCGGTTCCCAAATGTCAACTGATGGCAACTCCGGATGAATGTCAGAATCAACCTGCATGAACTCTTGAATGGGATGCCCTAAACCCTAAGCCCGAAAACCTAAACCCTGAAGCCCTAAACCGAAACCCTAAGCCCATAAACCTTAAAACCTAAACCCTGGACCTCCCGGGCCTGAAACCTAAACCATTCAACCGATGGTTCACCCTCCCACGGCGCACCTTCCGACACCATGGCGGAGTGCCAGCAGTCCGCCGGCAGACTCTCCGTAGACAAAGACCGGACACCTGAGCAGAAAGCACGGTAGCCAAAGGATCGAGATTCCACCAGATCCGGAATCCCCACATAAACGGGACATATCCGGAATGCCCATGCTACAGCTTCATCATGGGTGAGCTTGCTTTATTTTCGGGTGAGCTCGTTACAATGTGTCCAGAACTACCCCTCAAGCAAACCAGGCAAATGCATAGGATTGTTCCCCCTTTACATTTGTCCTGCAAGATTCTGTGACTCTCACAGCCTAAGATGGAGAGGCCAACATTGTCCCTCAGGGGTCGTTGGCTCGCTCCATATCGGCGAACTACAACCTCAAACACTCCCCAAGAAACATCATAATAGTCAGATCATGTTTTCAGGTCTTTCTTGGGGGCTGCATGAAACCCTGAGGATGGGTCAGCAAATGGCGCTTCAGTGATCTCCCACACATAAAAACCCACATTTCTGGACTGGCTGGTGCTCGGACACCTCTTTGCTCCTTTGCGCATTGTGGCAAACTTGCCATCCATTTCCTGCGCAATGCATCCCCGAACGCCAGTCAGAAGCTGATTGGGCTTCCTGTTTTCCCAGCCCCGGGTCCAAAGAGCACGGACCCGCTGCTTGCCCCGGAGCTGGGCGCCAGACTTGTAGCGCTTCTGCTCCTGGGCTGCGGCCGGAAGACATAGTTAAGTGTTAAAACTGCGGACCCCGCAACTTGGTGGTTCTTCGGTTGGCTTCCCTTTAGGATCAACCAAAACAGGGGATTCCCCCCCCCAAAAAAAAAGAAGAAGAACGTAGAGCCGGCCATCTTCCTGCATGGGCGAAGAGTCCTCCTCCAGTCGCATCTGAAGGTCGCCCACCACTTCCTCGTAGCTGTCGACATAGCCAGGTACGCCTTCTGAATATCCGCAGCCCACCTGGCAAGGGGTTTCAACGCCAACGCGCCACGTCCGGAAGGATTCGTCCGGAACCTGACTCGACAGTGGTTTTTCATTGAGTGGGGGGTCATTCTGGCAAAAAAGGGAGTTTCTCAAAGTAGTGCTCACCTAAATTGTCCTTTTTTGACAAAGACTTATAGAGCTGTGGGCGCGCATGGAGTCCCTGCCTGGTCATAGGCCACTGCTGCATAGCCCGCAGCTTGCAACGCCTTCCCGAAGACATCAAAGTAGCCGCTGTGCCTGGCGACTCGATTCGCATCAACAGAATGGTGATTCAAACAGGAGGCCGATTCTTGGAACCATGAAGAAGAACAACATAACAGCCACCGAAAGTCGTTTTCAACACATTACCAAGTGTTCCCCGGTGCCTTGGGAGGTCAATTAATGCAAGTTGGACAACATACCAAATCAAGTTGCCGGACGCAGAATACATGAAATCTGTCCCATGCATGAGTGGACTCCAACAAAGTTCAAACAAAGCAAGCTGTCCAAATGGCACAAGCTCAGAACCCGTAGCCATAGTTGTTTCACGCATCGACACAAGTTTCTCGGCAGCGCCAACAAGCTATGGACCAGGCGGCTGTGGTCATACGTATTTGCTCATAGTCAACTATCCCTTTTGAAGATTCATAGCTTCGGCAGCTGTGACAATTGAATCCGCAAACATAATTTGAGAGCCCCAGGCCTGATTGACATATCCGCCGACCCCCTGCCTGCAAGGGGAAGGCGCTGGGGGAGTGTTCGTTTAGCGTTGGCCTTCTCCCTTCCCTTTCGCCCTCGCCCGTTCAGCCCTGTACCTTACCAGCCTTCTTTCTTTCCCTTTTTTCTTGTTCTTCTTCGTTTCTTTTCTTTCCTTTTCCTTTCTGCTGCCGGCGCACTCCTTTGGTTGGCGCTCGCTGTGGACAAACGAGTGCGGCCTGGAAAAGCGCGGGAAGCGAAGCTTTTCTGGCTGGCCGCTCCCTCTAGACCCATAGCCTTGCTGCATATTGGACTCAGCCGCGACGGCACCCGGCCGCGGCGGAGCAGGCTGGTTCGTGCTCGCTGCGGCGAAGCGAGTGTGGCCTCCAAGCGCGCTGGACGCGAAGCTGTTCTTGCTGGTCGCGCCCTGGGGACCGATAGCTTTCTACTTTCTATATAGGATTCAAAAGTGACGTTTGGCACCCGGCCGCGGCGTACCAGCCGGTCTTGGCAAGACGCACAGCAAACCCAAAGGGATGAAAGACCAGGGAGAGGCAAACTGTGACAGACGCAGGCGATGGACAGGCCGGGGATTGAACCCAGCCCCTCTCGCATGCTGAGCGGGTGTGATACCACTACACCAACTGCCCCTGAGCTGAGCAGGCCGAGAGTGCTCAAATACCTGCTGCGCATAGCTTTCAGCGCTGAAGGTCCAGAGGGAGCGGCCAGCCACAAAAGCTTCGCTTCCCGCGCTTGCGCCGGCAGCAGAGAGGAAAAGGAAAGAAACCAAAGGAGTGCGCCGGCAGCAGAAAGGAAGACTAGAGGCCGAACGGGCGGGCCCGCACTCCTTTGCCCACAGCGAGAACCAACCAAAGGAGTGCGCCGGCAGCAGAAAGGAAGCAAAAAGGCCGGACGAGCGGGCCGTGACAGAGCTTCAGCGCTGAAAACTGTGCCCTGCAGGTGCTTGAGCGCTTTCCGCGGCGTACCAGCCGGTCTTGGCAAGACGCACAGCAAACCCAAAGGGATGAAAGACCAGGGAGAGGCAAACTGTGACAGACGCAGGCGCACATGGGCATGGACAGGCCGGGGATTGAACCCAGCCCCTCTCGCATGCTGAGCGGGTGTGATACCACTACACCAACTGCCCCTGAGCTGAGCAGGCCGAGAGTGCTCAAATACCTGCTGCGCATAGCTTTCAGCGCTGAAGGTCCAGAGGGAGCGGCCAGCCACAAAAGCTTCGCTTCCCGCGCTTGCGCCGGCAGCAGAGAGGAAAAGGAAAGAAACCAAAGGAGTGCGCCGGCAGCAGAAAGGAAGACTAGAGGCCGAACGGGCGGGCCCGCACTCCTTTGCCCACAGCGAGAACCAACCAAAGGAGTGCGCCGGCAGCAGAAAGGAAGCAAAAAGGCCGGACGAGCGGGCCGTGACAGAGCGACAGCGCAGAAAACTGTGCCCTGCAGGTGCTTGAGCGCTTTCCGCGGCGTACCAGCCGGTCTTGGCAAGACGCACAGCAAACCCAAAGGGATGAAAGACCAGGGAGAGGCAAACTGTGACAGACGCAGGCGCACATGGGCATGGACAGGCCGGGGATTGAACCCAGCCCCTCTCGCATGCTGAGCGGGTGTGATACCACTACACCAACTGCCCCTGAGCTGAGCAGGCCGAGAGTGCTCAAATACCTGCTGCGCATAGCTTTCAGCGCTGAAGGGAGCGGCCAGCCACAAAAGCTTCGCTTCCCGCGCTAGCAGAGAGGAAAAGGAAAGAAACCAAAGGAGTGCGCCGGCAGCAGAAAGGAAGCCGAACGGGCGGGCCCGCACTCCTTTCCCCACAGCGAGAACCAACCAAAGGAGTGCGCCGGCAGCAGAAAGGAAGCAAAAAGGCCGGACGAGCGGGCCGTGACAGAGCTTCAGCGCTGAAAACTGTGCCCTGCAGGTGCTTGAGCGCTTTTCCAGGCCGCGCTCGTTTGCCCACAGCGAAAAGAGGCCACTCAAACGCGACGTTAGGCACCCGGCCGCGGCGGAGCAGGCTGCCGGCGCACTCCTTTGGTTCGTGCTCGCTGCAGCGAAGCGAGTGCGGCCTCCAAGCGCGCTGGACGCGAAGCTGTTCTTGCTGGTTGCGCCCTGGGGACCGATTGCTGTCTACTTTCCATATAGCGCTCCTTTGGTTGGTGCTCGCTGTGTGGGCAAACGAGCGCAAAAGCGCTGAAAACAAGCAAACAATCAAGCGAGCGAGCAAGCCAGCAAGCCAGCAAGCCTGAACCAGCCAAAAGCCGCTGCCAGAACAAAAATAAACCTCGGCTGGCCCCCAGCGGAGGGGTCGGCGGCACTGGGCGGCAGCCCTTAAATTATGGGCAAGCTCGCCTTAAAAATACGGCAGTGGCATGAGTGAAACTTGACTCATCGAATCGCTAGACAATTCGGGGTTTGGGGGGGGGCTTCCCAGAGAACCATTTTACTTCCTTATGGTACTATCCTCAAATAACGAACTTCCAGCGACAAGTTGAATCCAAGATAGCCAATGCAAATAAAAACAACAAGAACGTATAGACAAGTAAACTATAGAGATTCTCCTGTAACCAAATGCTAGGATGTCTCCTTTCCCAACGTGAACCCACCCCATGTCATGGGGCATGTAATGGCTACCCTGGAAGCCTTCGGGGTTGTGGGAAACCCTCTTAGAGGATATGAGCGCCCCAAACCTAGACTTCTCACTAAACTGGCAAATGGGAGTTTTGGAGGTATCCTTCTTCCCATGTCCAAACCCCGCGGGGCAGGATTTCAACGGACCACGCCTACCCTGTTCTTGTTCTTCATTTTTTTGAAAATAGGAAAACCCTCAAAATTTGCAGGGGGGTTCCTTTTGGTTCCCCTTTCACACCAACCAGAAGGGAGCTTCCACCCGAAAACGCCACGAGCCGCCCATGTGCTTTCAGGGAGTTCAACGAGCAAACCGCGCGGAGCCCGCGCCAGCCCACGCCGCCGTGCAAGATGATCACCGCTGCCTTGGGAGCGGCCTGGGCTGTTTGAAATGGAGGCTTGGCCAATCCGATTTTCCAGAATCCCTATAGAAAAGCCAAGGGGACCGGTTCCTTGCGTAAGGTAAGGATTAAGGACTACCTTTGAACAGCCGAGTTTAAAGGGAACCACGAAGCCAACTTGCCGCGGGATTTGAAGCCTTTCTTTTGAGACAAGCACACAAGTCACGCATGCAATGTACTTAAGCATGCATTTGTCTGCATGCCAACAACCAAAAAGGAAAAGGTGTATACTTCTGGCACCAAAATCGCCTAGTCTCTTCCCTCCCTCAAGTCAACTTGGGTGTGTCCCCTTTTTTGCGGGGTCTTCCCCAAAAAAATTGGCGTCTGTATTTTCCTTGTTCCTTGAAAACCACCCACAACCCCCGCCCCCTCCCCCCCCCAAGGCAACAACACAAAATTTAAAAACAGAAGCCAAAGGGCCGAAGGGGTCGTTCCCCGAGCCTCCCAACCAATAAAAGGGACGAGGTCTCACCTCCCAACAAACTTTAAGGGGAAGGTATCACCTCCCCATGTTGGGCCACTTTGGGCCATTTTGGCGCCAAATGGATGGATCGGACCACCGAAACCGAAAACCGATGTCCGCGCCTGGGGCGCCCATCTCCTCAGCGCCACTTTAAAGTTCCGGGCGCTGCCCCACTCGCTGGGCTCCCCCAGTGGGCCCACGGCAGCCATCGCTGGATCTGTCAAATCCGGGGGGGGGCTCGCTGCGAGCCTAAAGCTAACGGAGAGCTTTCAACAACTTGCTGAGGGGCAAGCTGATTCTTTGATTCGCACACGAACATCTGCCGCAAAAACAGCTGGTGCATGCCACCCTCCCTGCTCCGCCCGCCCTGCCTGTGGCTCTCCTTGGAAGAGATGTGACACATCAACGTTTGAGCGGTTCGAACATATGGGGCGTAAGCTTCATGGTGTGCCTAACTCATACTGGATTTTGTTGAGATCCGACTCGGTCAGTGGGGCAGCTTATCTGCACGACCAGAACCGAAGAAGACACAAATCAAAAAACAACGAGACCATACACCAAGAACTGTGAAGTCGCCTTAGGGCAGGCAGCCTCCCAACTCCGTCAAACTTCCCCTTCAGTCACTTCTGAGTGGCTGTAGAAAAGGAAAGGAGTCTCTTTGCTTGACAAACCATTGCCAAAAGCACCAACAAGTAAGGAAAAGCCACCAAAAGGACAAAAGGCGACCACTGACACATGCGCGATCAACCCTGCCTGGGATGTCTTTCCAATCGGCTTCGAATCGGTCTGTGATCGAGGACCTCAGCAAGCTGACTGCCCCGCTCTTTTGCTCCCAGATTTGGGCACGTGCTTTGGGATGCTTAAAGTGACATGAATTAAACAGTGCTTCTTGGGGTGGTCAACGCTCACTTGCTGGAACCACTTTTGATCCGAAGCTTCAATTTGCCATTTGCTCCGCGCCTGTTTTGCCGCCGCAACAATAAACCGATGGACCGGCACGCGAATCTTCGCTGGGCGAACTCATCCCCATTGGCCGCTTCAGCCTCGAGCCTCCATCTCAAAACCGGGAGCGAGCCATTCAGGTCGATGCCTCGAAAAGCGTCGACTTGCCAAAGACCGGGCTCAGGCATCTTGTACTTGGGCTCTACCAAGCTAGGGTCAGCTTGTCCTTCCTGCTTCGCCAGGCTTCACAAGCATCGCAGCTGTAGGGGTTCCAGCGCTCGTAAATGCTCGTAACATCTCAGAGGGGCGTCTCTCGATCCTGCAGGGATATGTTCATCATCAACACCAGTGCCCGGTTGCCTTTCGGCACGCGGGAAAGAGACCCTATGCCCCAAAAGTGCAACACCCATGCAATTGAACGCCGTACCTTACTTATCGATGTTGAGTCTCAATACAAACAATGCCAAACAAACTACCAGGAAAACTCAAACCGGCCGGTTGATGCCCTTACGTTTGTGACTGGAGCTGTTCCTACCCCTCTGCCCGAATCATTTTCCATGGCTCACCGAGGACGCCCTCTGCCTGCTGATCACCGCAGCAAAAATCCACGCAGCGGCTGGATCGGCATCGATGACTGCGCCTGAGCAGTCAAACATGTCGACAGGATCATAAAACCACGGCGACTAACCATCTAAGGTTTAGGGAAAACCAACAACTGCGGGAAACAAAGCGTTTGGCTTTAGGGAAAACCAACAATTGTGGGAAACAAAGCGTTCTAATGCGTTTTAGCAAACTACCCATTTGTGGGACCCTGTGATACCCAAATGTGGTTTCAGATCGATCACCGTCGCCTGCTCGCAAAGCTTCAGAGCCTCGTTGCAGCTTGCGACCCGCAAGCGCCGTGTCTTTGCCTCCTGCGCAAAAAAAAGAGGGGCGTCTCTGTTTCCAGGCTGCGAAGATTTCTTTGGACAATCCTTCGGTGGACGGCACCGTTGACGTGGGGATTCCTGTCCAACACTTTGGTGGTGGTTCCTTCTTCAAAGCCAGCGGAGGGCCAGTCACCATGGGATGGCCTCAACCTCTGGGGGAACCGGCATGGATGTCTTGCCCGAGGTGCAAGACTCAGTGGGCAGGGCGGAACCGCCCCCTTCGCAGACATGGCCATAAGTGCGGCTTCAAGCCCTTGGCTCTTTACGAGTTGGCTGTGGCTCAAAAAGCCGGAATTCCAAAATGGAACCCTGCAAGTGGAAACCTGGACCAAAACCTGCGTAACCCCCCCTGTTTAATTTTGAGCCATATCCAGTTCTCAAAATGAACCTTTTTTGGGTTGCGAGGATTCTATTTTCACCCCTGGCCGCATCCAAAGTCCTGCAGAAGCTGCAGTGCGACCAACCAGTTTTCGCAGCCACTCAGAGCCTAAGCTGAACAGTGGAAGGAATCTCGCGGTTTTCCCATCGATTCACTGCCGGGTTGTTGGCCGATTCCCTTGTAAATGCATTGATTTACAAACCCCAAAGAGATCAATTGGTGTTATTTCTGTCTTCAGGTTGATTGCACATGGACTCCGTTGGCTTGAGTTCGATAACGAATAGAAACCAACATTTTTCTGAAACACCAAAGCGCCTTAGTTTAGGCGGGTATCTCCAAACATGGTTTTGGATTTATGTTAGGTACTTGTACCAATTTTGGACCCTCCCGGTAGATGTCCTACGTGTCCCCAAAAGTTGGCCTCGGGTTCCAACGTCTGCCGGATTCAAGTGAGTCTCGGATGACCTTTCTCTTGCCAATGTAATCTGTATACCTGAAACAGAGTAAAGCTTTTAACAGGTTTTAAGCGAAAGTGGACTGGTTGCATGTGAACTATGAGAACTGTTCTCTGCCCTCAAATCGTTAGATGCCAAATAGATTGGGAGTCCATAGCAAAATCTGTATGCCATACCTGGAGCGATTGAAACCTTGAGTTCAGTGGGGGAAGTTGAAGTAGTATGGGCAACCTTGCGAACGTCACGCACCAAACCCCCCACAGTCTCAAGATTTCCTGAAATTCAGAAACCTTTGCCAGTACCAAAGGCTGATGTTTCCCCCCGCCAGCTTGCAAGAATCCGAATTTCTGTTGCCAGAACGATGTGTCATGAAAGGGTAGTTGACCCTGCAAAAAAAACAAGTTCCCTCGTTGCAAGTTTTGCACACCTTTTGGCGTCCGGAGAGAACCAAAATCTGAGGGTGCTGCGGTGGAGTAAGTCACACCATCGGGTGCCAGCTGCCATGCTTCCAACACCACCAGCAACTCCAGGACTCGCTGCCACCTGGTGGGCCGGTGAATTGACCAAAATATGAGGGTTGCAAGCACCAAACCACCTGACAATATGAAAGGTGTGTGTATATCATTGCATTTAGACATGCGTTGCGTAAAATAAACGCTCCTCGCCAACAAACATGGTGCACAGACTCCTCTTGTCGACGGTGTTCCTCAAATTTCCTGAGTCGCAAATGCAAATTTGATGGTCGCAAGCCCGTTTTGGCAACCTGTGCCGCGACGCACGAGGAATTTTGCCACAGCATTGAAAATGCATTCCTTTGCCCGAAAAATGAGCCGGAGCTCCTGCCTGCGGGCTCGAGCGCAAGCGCTGACAGTGGCGTTGAAGGTGATCAAGTCGGGACTCACCTCCGCTTTTCTGCGCTCAAACAAGATAGGGCCTGGACACACATTCTCGACTTAAGACTATTAGACCGGTCTTTTCGGCACCATCAGGTTGACAACTAATTATACATCTATATTTCTCGACTCTGAGGTACAAGAGGGCCCCCTGGCAGCCCGCCACCTGCACAACCCTACACCGCGCGAGAACAAGGCCTGGTTGGCCTTCATCTCTCGCAGCGTCTGCATTGCCCATTGCCAATCTGCAGACTTGTCCAGCGCGGTGATCGCTGAGGTGTAGGTGATGACCTACACTGACAGGCCACAGGAAACACAGACAGACAGGCAGGCAGGCAGGCAGACAGACAGACAGACAGACAAACAGAGACAAAAACAGAGAGACAGACGCACGGACAGACGGACAAACAGGATGAAACGGCAAACAGAAGCAAACAAACAAACACGCAAACACGGAAACAGACTAACTAACATACGTGCAACTCAACAAACGGAAGCAAACCAAAGACAACCAAAGAAAACCAAAACAAACTATAAACAAACAAGAAAACACCCAGAAACACCCAGAAACACCGCGAACATTTCATTGTGACAAGAACATGCGCTGGACAGTTCGAGCGGCATCTGGCTCGAGGGCTACCTCCTGCGCTTGGTTCAAGAGCCACATGGCCTGTTGCCCGGCCACTTCGCAGGAACCTCAGCGACCGGATGTTGCAGTGGCAGGAAGCAACCATGGCTATCGGTCAAGAAATCGTACCCCCAGTGAACATCCCAATCCCCACTATAGACTAAAGTGGGTGGTGCACCTGCCCCAAAATGGTAAGTGGTTTTATGCAACCAACCCTTTTGGAGAAAACACTTTTCGTTGGCAAATCGCCTTTTGGCTGCGAAAGCCCCCTTTTTAGTTGACTACAGGGACATAAAGGTACAGCAATCATGTTGGGGTCTCCAATTTCCGGAAGCACCCACATGGGCGGGGACACCACTTCCAATCTTTACGTTCCCCTCACAAGCAAGTTGTGGGCTGTCAAACTGTTTGCGGCCACGTTTACCAGAATTTGGCCAAAACAATAAGACCGTGCGTGCTGCATTCCTTCCAGGCACCCTGCTCATGCCCAATGGATACACACCCCTCCTAAAAAGAAATGGCGGGCTTCCTGCGGCTTCTGTCTAAAACAAGCGCTGAAAAAGTGTCGAGCATGAGAAAAGACACGCCCACTTCGCACCACGCCAGCCGGGAACGCGCAATACTCCATCAAGATTCACTGAAACGGGGCTGTTTGAACTCCCCCCCTCCCCCCCAAACAAAAACACAAAAAACGCGACGTTGCTCATCCTCCCCGCCGCCACCCGCAGCGGACACCCCAGCAATGGAAGCCACAAAAGCGGTAATCCAAAACCCCATTGGCCATGGTGCTTGAGTTTAGCCCCCAAAGAAAAGCTGGCGTTCAACGGGCATGCCCAGACCTCCAGTCTCGGGAAACTGTTGTGGGCCCTGGCGTTCTCAGACGAGTCTATTCCTTCAAAGGGGGTTCCTAGAGAGATATCGCAGAACGCGGTCAAACCAAAAGAAAGAACCATGAACATAGGTGTCCTTGGGCGAATAGATGGGTTTCCCTGGTAGATGAGAGAAAACCACCAGGTAAACCAGGGATCGAAGCCCATCTATTTGTCTATCAAATCAAGCAAAAAGGACACCTATGACCATGGAGCTGATGGCCGCATTGTAGGTGATCAAATCCAGCTCCATCTTTCTCAGCTCCGCCTCACTCATGATCTGCAAGGCCTGCGGCAAAAATATCTCGGGCTATCGGGCTCCCCGCGCGGCGTTCAGCATGGCTGTGGGTCAAAACCAATGGTACAACCAATGGGATCCCATTTTGGGGTAGGTGAATTCACCACCCATTTTAGAACCTGTTTTAGTGGGGATTGGGATGTTCACTGGGGATACGATTTGGCTTTTGACCCTGGGCCACATTGGTGGTGCTGGCAGAAAGCTCCGATTTCTGATGTCCACCAAAGGGTTTGCAGCAAATCACATCCACACTGGGACCACACATGCCCACGCTGAGTAAGATGGAACCCAGAAAGGGGCCCGCCTCATATTAAAGATTCCTCCAATGGCTTAGTTTGTTGATATTAGATGATATTAGGGTTACATGTTGATCTGGATGTGCCCTAAGATTCGGGAACCTCGTTTCAAATGAGAAAGCCGCCTGCGATCTGATGTTTGCCCAGGCAGGCATGGGACCATTGGGGCCGACCCCCTCCACCCAAACCAAGAGTTGGCTACCAATCATTTGTCTGTTGCTCAAAGGAATTGGAGGCCCTTTGCGTTGTGCTGCTCATGCCAGCAATCCAAGTTGCATTTGCCTGGCGACGTAGTCAGCAAAAAGGAGATTTGAGCATAAGTCAACATTACCCCCCCAGGAAATGGACCGCGGCTTTTCGTCCAGGATTCCATTTACCGATCGGGCAACCCAGTTTGGGGTTACCCCCATTTTGACCACCACAGCCATTTCAAGTTGGATTCCCTTGGACCGCCCGGAACTTTGGCGGTTGGGCCATTGGCCAAATTCGAGTCCATGGCCAAAGACCCAGCCTCTTGCCACTGGTCTGCTTTCTCACAGGCGCTGATTGCCGCGTTGTAGGTGATAGCGCTGGCCTCAAGACCTCGGTTGAGGTGGAAATACTGGGCTGTCCTCAGATCCCCGGCGAAAAGTGACTAACTTTTAGTGGGTTAAATGCAACTCCAACCACTAAACACTAAAAGGCTAAAAAGCAAAGGAACCGGATGGCTGGGAGCCACCAAGAATAGAACATTCCCATCACACTGGTTTGTATTTTATTGTCATGGAACTACATGTCCTCATCCAGGTAACGGAGCTTGTGCCTGGAAGTTCATGCAGGCCACTCTTTCTTCCCATGCGACTGGACACTTGCAATATCCGAATAAAACCTGGTCATGTCGGACTGACCCAAAGCAAGCTTGCGACCTTTTTGCCTTCCTCCATCCCAAAAAGGGTACCCTTAATAAACACGTACACCCACGTGCTTGCTGGGTCGCGCCCCTTCTGCACGAGCAGCAGCAACTCAATGGCCCTCTGCCACCTGGGCAGAAAGCCCCAGGGTTCTCAACCGTGCAATTTCTTGCTGGTGCTCGGTAGGGAATGTGGGAATGAACCCAGGGTCCCCTTAAAGGAAAGGTCATTCCCTCATTCCCGGCTGAGCGCTAGCAAGATTTCCCCGGTTAGCCAAAGGCAGGAGCATGAATAAGGTAGACGAAGCTCGGCAAACCCGCCAACCCAAGAGCAAATCCAGAGCCGAAGCATGCCGCACGGTGAGGAACGCCTTCCGCTGGGCCCAAATCCCAACGGGGGGCGATATGGCACCCGGAGGCCACAAACTTGAGGCAATGGCCCAACACCGCAAACAGCCCAACACCCGTCAGAAGGGTGGGGCTAGAATGGCTCCTGAAAGTCTTGGCAAACCAAACATAGAACTGGCAATGTCCAATAGTACAATAAGTAAGTGGAATCTGAGCTTAAGTCTGGGCAATGAGGAATGTAGGACTAGCGATACTGGGCAATACAAGATCAAGACTGTTGGATGCAGGGGAGGGGTCATATTAAAGCAAAGCAAGGTTTCGGAGGAAAGGGAAATCGGGAATATTGCAAAAAGCCAAACGGCGCGCAATTCTGTCCGTAGAACGAAACAGTTTCTGAAGCTCAGCAAGACACGCGTGGAAAGACCTCAAAAGCATGGAATGCCTACGAGCGTAGACAAGTGGGGGGAGGCGCGGCCTGAGTCGAAGAGTGTGCTGCAGAACCCAACGCAACACCCCTCAATGTTCAACCCCCCACCCCCCCGCAAGAAAAACACAAATTCGGGGGGGGGGGGGGTCAAATTCTACAATCAACGTCTGCAACCCTCAACCTCAGCCCTCACAAATGCACAGGAGTAGCAGCCGTCCGCCACCCAACCTTCCGGAGCCCAAGGGAAACCAAGGGACAACCACCACCGTTCTTTCTTTTTTCTCCGCATTTTTGAGGACTCAAGGTCTTCCACCGGAGTTTGCAAAGGAAACCAAATCTTCAACACCACCACCCACCACTTCTCGCCGGTTTTCGACGCGGCCCTGGACTTTGATGAGGCGCTGCTTCTGCTTCTCACACGCGCTGATGGCCGCGCTGAGCGCCACCACGTTGGCGGTCTCCGAGTCCAGCAGCGGTGCCAAGACCAGCAGCGCCCAGCGCCACTCCTCAGTCACCGGACCCCATACTCCCATACTCCCCCCACCCATGAAACCCAGCCTAAAACTTCCTCAACCCTCCCAAAGAACTGACACTTCCTGGGTTGCTTTCTGCTCCCCGGCTAAAAGTGTTTAACTTTAGGTGGTTGAGGGGGGAAAACCCAAATTCGTTGGCAACCAGTTAAGGTCCTAACGTCCAAGCAACATGCAACAAAGTTTCCGTACATGTCCGGGGGAAACACAAAGAAGTGCATGGACACTTTTTACAAAGTGTGAAGGAAATCTCCTTTAGCAGGGCCGTGAGCCTTGAGCTGAAAAAGTGTTCAGCTGCAGGAGTGTAGACCCCCCACACAAAGTGATCACTGTTTGCTGGTAGATGAGCATGACGGGAACCCAAAAGGGCAGGGCGCTCCGAGATTTGGCAAAAGGGGTCCACGCAGTCGCCTTTCGAGCAGCCCCTGTTCGATAAAAAGGCCGCCGCTTTGGGGAAAGCAAACGAGCAGTGCTCTTGGTCGGAATTGCGCTGCATGTCTTTGGATTTCGGTGGGAACTGGGGACGTGGGTTGGGGGATGGGGTAAGACGGTAAGACTCTAAGACTTGCAGGCACGCGAGTTCTATGCAAACCAACTCCAACACACGCATGTTCCCGGCTGGGTTTCGGGCAGTAGCTGCAAGCCAAATGTACGCGAGCACTCAACTAGCTGTCTCTTGGTCCAAATGATTGAGCAAACAACCTGCTTTGGCGCACACGTATTCTTGGAGGCACTGTCTTCCTGATTCTCATCGTGGGTAGCCAAGCACAAACCAAACATGCCAATCTAGCAAAGTGTCGTGATCAATACGTACACCGCAACTTTCAGGCAACTCATGGACATCTATTGCTGCTGTCCTTTGCTTCGGAGGTACTTGGTGCAGCAAACCTTCAATTCGCCATGCTCCAGTTTAGACCTGTTCAAACCTCTCACGTTTCTCCAAAGCGAGAAGGGATGGTTCGTAGGCTTTTGGCGCGCATTGGGCTAAGGGGACCGCCCAAGAAATCGTGATTAAGACACTTCTTAACCAACCTCAAGGGTGGACGTGGATATTCAGTCACGGGAAGGCTGTCAAGGCTGTTCTTTGCTGACATTCCTCGTCCCAAACCTTGCGTCACCTCGCTTCCCAGTCAAACAGATGTTGTGCCAAAGCCGGTGGCAAGGAGCCGGCTTTGTCCAGTGACTCATCATTGAGTGCCAAGCCAAGGCCAAGAGCGTAAATTCGGGTCCCGTGATTCCGGAAGCCCTTCATGCATTTCGAGCTATCCCATCCTAGCCATGCAGTGCCAAAGGTTCATCTGAAGCAAGCAGTTGGGAGTTTCTCAACATTTTCTCAACATTGTGAACCCTAAAAAAAATAATCAAAGGGACACCAACATCAAAGGGAACCTCACCATTCTAGGGGCCCTTCTCTCTCTCTCTCGCGCTTCGCGCCCGCCAAAGGGACTCCAAGACTCCGATTGGGATTTCTCGCAGGCGCTGATGGCAGATCCCCAGGTGATGATGTTGGGCTCCAGATTTCCCACCCGCAGCTCCTCCGCCCAGTTACCCAGACACCAAAGGCGAACCTGTTGGGGCAACTGAACGTGCAACAAGGGAAAACATGCCCAAAAATGCACCGAACATGCACCACAAGCTCGACTCAGGTCGATTCGCGTTCGGCAAGTGAGCTCCTCCAGTCGTTTCGATGCCTGCTGCCAGGTGCCAGCGGAAGCCTCAGCTGAGCTCGCAGAAAGCAGCAGACAGTTTCGGCGATGGGGCCATAACCAGAAGACTGGGCAGGTACCAACGGAATCAGAAACTATGCGGGCCTTGCCAGAACCATGAAAGGCAGTATAACTCTTGGGCCAAGTTTCTGAGCCTCACACCAAACAACCGGCCAGGCAACGGTAATCGTGGCATTGTAGGTGATCACGGTGGCCTCCAGGGATGCTCCTTCTGCCTCATGCAAGAGCTTGAAGGCGTGCTGCCACCGTTCAGCCTTGCCGCACGCGGTGATACCGGCGTTGTAGGAAATGATGTCCCTCCTCAGTGCGTTCAGAAAGACTCACTGGCTGAGTGGATGGCCCAACAAAAGTCCAAACTTTATACTTACCACTAAAACGGTCTTCCTAAACAATTTAAAGTTCATGAGTTCATGAGTTCATGAACTCAGGAAGTGAGAATAACTTCAAAGGAGGTAGCCTTCCGGGTTCTCAGCCCCCATTTGGCCTTATTTGATCTAGGTTCTCTCGGTAAGTCAACAGAACTCATCTCAAATGAATCCCCAAGCATCATGAGGCCCGTTTGAGGGAATCCACAGTGAAACCAACCGTTTTGAGGTTCCATGAAAGCATGACGTTCCAGACCGGCCCCCACTTTTTTGGATTTCATCTCTGAATTTTGTTTGGAGATCCTATGGACATTAGGTCATGGCCATACCTGGACCTATTTTGAGGCCATGAGTCATAATCAAAACCCGGTATTTAAATGGTCGACCCAGGACCATGTAAGGAATTATGAAGGCAGCCGCAGCTATTTATGGTTGGGATTACTTACCCGGGTTTTGATGGTGACTCACACGCGAGGCACAGGCCCCCTCTTCTGAGACTCTGCAGCTGGATCTGCAGAACACAGCGAAAAGACTCAACCATTCAAGCTAAACAACTACAAAAACTAGACAAATGCGGCGGATTGGGGCCGCCAGTTGCTTGAGGCACACCCTTTGGATCGAGCTTCTGCAGGTCCTGGTGCTCCATCTCTTGCACCAAGCGCAAGGCCTGTTGCCACTCCGAGGCCTCTTCACAGGCGCTGATCGCGGCGTTGTAGGTGACCACGCTCGGCTCCAGGCGCCTGTCCTAAGGGCGAGATGGCTGTGGTATTTTCTCGGTTGCTTTCTGCTCCCTGGCTAAAAACAATAAACGTTTAGTGGTTTAGGGGGGAAAACCCAAATTCGTTGGCAAAAAGTTAAAGTCCTGACATCCAAGCAAAATGCAACAAAGTTTTGGTTGATCAGAATTTGCGGTTTGGGATTGGTGGGCTGCGGATTTCAACCCATGGTTCTTCTCGAGGGTGCATGGAAGTCTCTCAACAAGGGGGTCTTTTTTGCGAGCCACAACGAAAACCACCCTATCTAGACACATGCCCAAATGTTGGATCCTCGAATTTCCTGATTCGAGGGACACCACAAGGAAACCCAAGATCTAGGAGTTCCCCTTAAGCTGCCATCGAGGGTTGATGGCACTTACAAGGGAAGCCCCAATTCACAAGGACAATCCTCATTTCGATCAGTCCTGCGCGCGCCGAAGCAAGAGCACCGCGGTTCCCCACTGCCCTGCGCCTTCGCAGGCACTGATACACGCGTTGTAAGTGATGATGTCCGTGTCGCTTTTGTTGGAGAGATACAGTGCTGTCCTGGGATCTCTTAGACTCGCACCAAGCTCCGTGAAGAAACCAGGAAAAGATGGTTCAATTTTCAGCAATGAACAAAGGAGCCATTTTACAATTTTCATGGCTCTTATCTCTTGAACATTTTCACTGCAAAAGATGCTTGCAAGACCTTGCATGCAGCGAGTAAGGTCAGGAAAGGCTCAAGCAGGAGCTCAGCGACAACACATGCAGGACTGGGTCACCAAGCTTCCAAACCATGTTAAAACGTGGAACCCCTCTAATGGGCCGGGGTTCTTTTCCCCTTTTGCCCCAAAAACGGAAACAACATTTGACCATCGCTTCTTTAACGAACCCAAACAGGTCGCCCGAAAGGAGATTCGTTGGTGGGTTCCTGTTTAGTTGCGGCTTCCTGCCTCTGCGTTCCCCTTTAAACGGCGGTTTACAGAGTACCAACTCACAAGAACATTCACACCGACACAAATAGGGATTCCCCGAATGGGCTTCCCCCCAAAAAAACAATTCACACGCGACTGGCAGCACACTCGACTGGCCCAAGCTGCTGCCATTGCCCTGCTGCACCGCAGGCGCTGATGGCCGCATTCAGGGCCATCACATTCCTCGGGAAATTGCGGCTTCTCGAGCAAGCCGGAAAAACGGTTTAAACACACACGCGCACAGAGACACGCACACAAACACGCAAACACACACACACACAAACACTGCAAAACATACACAACTACAAACACAGGCAGTCATGTCCGCCTAGGACAGAACACTTTATTAAACAGGTCCCCACACAACCCCCCCTCTCCCCCAATACCAACAGTTTGAAAAGTTTGAATACATTTTTCATTTTTTGTTTTTTTAAACGTTTTGCCCAGGAAAACTCCCCACGCCAAATCCCAAACCCTCCCCCCCCACACCACCGCCAAAACAGTGATACAGCTGCTGTCATTTTCATTTTCATTTTCCATTTGTTTTGGAATGCCGAGGCAAACCCTGAGGGTCCAAATCTGTAACTACAAGGTACTTAACAGAATCCGTGACATTCATGTGTGTTTGGACAACATGTCAGGAGCGCGGCTTCGGGGCGAAAAACCGTAAATATGACATGTTGCTCCGTGTTGCAGCAGAAATCAATCATCACCTTAGCAGAAGATAGTTGTATTCTGACAGCATCAACTCATTTGCAACCGCGGCATGGTTGCATCATGGCGGTCGGTGATCAGCTTCTCTTGGGGGCATGGGGTTGCTCAAGAACCATGGGGGGACTCTTGGGTTCTCTAGCACATCAACCCACCAGGTCAGGGCAGCGGTTGCTGAAGAAACATCACGCGCGAAAGCCTGAGAAAGTCGCATTCAATCGAGAAAAGTTGCGTCCAAAGCTGGGTTGGCGCACCTGTGGGCTTTGGATCGGAATAAAGTGGGTCACAATTGTACTGACTTTTAGAACGTGAGTTTAATTTGTGAGTGCTGTGTCCATGCGACAGAACACATCACGCGATAAAGGTGCGTTAAATGGCGTTAAAATGCGTTACAAAACATGAAAGCGAGCTTCTGGGCGCTAATTGTGGCATCAGTGCTTGGAAACGTGTTTTGCGCCAGGTGATTTTGGGATGGTGATTCTGATGCACTGAAGAATGTTGCAACTCCAAATCGGTGCTGCACATTTGACAAGAACTCGAATTTCGCCACGATAGCTTTCTTGCCGGACATGGCGAACACATGTGCAACACTCTGCAACCGTCCCTCAAATTGAAACACTGCAGAAGGTAACTTGTCGCTACTTAGGCAATAAGAACTTTGCGCATATTTGAGCATCCCGAGGCTTTTCACCCGAAGAACCCTCTTTCGAGGCGAACTTGTGAAACATTTTATCTCAGGCGGTGCTTTCGTGTGCCATCCAGCGATCGATTCACGAAAGTACCTCAGTATAGAGTACTTGGACTGTTATGTAAAGAAAGCTGCAGCTATGTACTAGTGCTAGTGCAGCCATGAAGCAGTGCCAAGCCAGCGCAAAATCAGCCAGAACTCAATGAACTGCCTAGGGGATAACAATCTTGCAAGCTGCCCGGGCCTTGGCGTTCTGCATCTTGCCGGAGGAGCCAAAGGCGGCATCACCTGCGCGGACTTTCAGAAGTCTGCTTCACTTGAGCCTGATGTTGGCTTGGTGCCTGGCGTTGGACGATCACCGCGTTGTGATAACACCAGCGCGACGGCGTCGGTCAAACTCAGCCATGTCTAGCTGCTCCGGGTCCTCCACAGTCACCTCCAAATACTCCGCAACTCCGAGCTGTTGAGCCACCCGCTGCGACGAGCGCGCTGCCACCATGGACTTGCCTGGCCACGTCCCGCCCGCAATGGCAAGCACAGGTCGCCGAAAGCGGGCTTGTCCGTTGTGGCATGCCAGGAACTCCAGCTTGGTGCGCTAAGGACCCCCCTTAAGCAACATCCCTTAAGCAACATGAGCAGCAATAGGAACAAGAAACCCAGAGACACACATGTATGCGCAAACACAGGTGCTGCTAAAGCACTCGTGTCTGGCCGCGCCTCGTCCCTCTCGTGGCCCAGAAGGCGAGGAGGGCACACCTGAAGGCAGCCGCGCTTATGCAAGAAGGCGGCTTTTTATGGGATATGTCTTGCGTTCATTAACATCTACCCTTTTGCTATCCAACGCTGACACCCTTCCACCTTCAACTAATGCGGCAGAACTTGGTTCCTTGTCTGAAACTTGGCCCGTGTCTACAAACAATGGGTCTCACACATTCACGTCCCTTGCGCGTGTTTTGCATGTAACATGTTCCATCTTCCTATTGCGCATGGCTCGCTAAAATCCAAACCCAGGCTGCAATTGTCACAAAGCTACCAGCCAGCGCAAACCTCATCAACAGCCCGGCCTTGATGCCGCCAGCATAGAAGGGTGCGAAGAGCGCCACCCCCGGCGATGGAACAAACGAAGCGTGAGGCAAAAACTGCCCGGATATCTGGAGCTAGTGGCAGTAAGAGGCACATGTTGAATCAAGTGGTTGCATCTACGATGCAATGTGATTGCTCCGCTGGTTGTTGCATTGATAGGGTGCTGGACTGCCCTACGTAAACTCACCTGGACCCTCCACTACCCTTTGTTTTTGGGACAGTGCTATATTGCCTTCATGTTGGGGCGGTTGATGTCTTTTAGTTGCGTGTTTCCTTCTTGGGTGTTTTCCTATTTCACTCTTCCCATTTTCCCATTTCCTCCCTTTGCCCACTCCCAGCAGCCCTCCAGGCCTCTCACAAGCAGGAGCGAGGCCCCTCGTCAGCAAACCGCGATCCAATTTTCCACAAGCTCCCAATTGTCCACTTCCTCATTCTTCCCCACGCAGCAGCAGTTGTCATCACTTTCGGGAGGAAAGAACAAAATACTAGAAAATTAGCGACGCGCTCGAAGGCGGGCAGCCGATTGAATTAGGCCGCCACGGGAGGTGATGCACAAGAGGCAAGGCAGCAAACAGACTGATGGTATAAAAATTAGATGCTAGGAGAGAACGGGTTTAAACCGAAAATATAGCCTCATACAATACGCCCCCATTCTTTCTGGTTTTTCACTTTCAGCCAAAGCAGATGAGAACGATGATCCTGGGGACAGAACGCTGGTTGTGGGGAAAGAACGATAGTTGTAGGGAAAGAACGATGGCTCTGAAGAAAGAACGCTGCCGGTAAGAACGATGGCACGACTCTGGCTGGCTACTGCCCCTAGCCAGCGAGACGACTTTCTGCATGGCTCGGTGCTCGCTGCCAGAAAAAAAACTGAGCCGAAACCGGCTGGAAAGAACGATCGTTGCACTGAGTGCACGTGTGAGAAAAGAATGGGGAATCAATCATTAGATATATTATATTTACTGTCTGTTGTTTGGTGGGAACCCTGGTTCAAATAGCTCTGAGCTTCGGCTTGAGCCCCATTTTGGTGGGCACTCACCCGTTTTGGACTGACATCCCCATAGAAGGATTTCAGTGATGCTTTCATCGCTGGAATTCTTGTGACAGCAAACTCTCCTCCTAACTCCTGGCGTGTCCAACGGTCGGCATCAACCACTGACAAGACGTCCTTTCAACATAATCTGATGTCAGGGCCCGTTACTTTAGGTTTCCTTGAGGTTTGACGTGTTCCAAGTGGCTCTGAATTTCAATAAGGGACCCTTTGGGGTGGACATCATTTAGGTGGGGATTCATGTCCACCAGTCACTTTGTAGGTGGTTCCCCTGTAAAATTCATAGCCAAGTAATTCCAGTTGAACCACCAGTGCTGGCGTCCTTTCAATACCATGCCCCCCCGCTCCCCCAAACACAAAAAACAAGAATCACAAGCACAGTTTTGCCGAGCCTTAACAAAAACAAGCCACACCCACACTGTTGAGTGGAAACCACCCCGGTGAGATGCTGCGCCTTGTAGGCCGCCTCCAGCGGGGTGATAAACAGTAGCCCCTCTTTGAAACACACACACTCCAAGCGGGAAAGCGACCTCCTGAAATGTGCCCTCTAAATGGTGGTACAGGACATGAGCCTCAAAATTACTTTTGGGGACCCTCAAATGTTCACGAATGATTACCCACTCCAAGATCCAAGGCTCTCCGTCTGGGGCAGCAAACTCACTGCATGCTGCCACTCCTCAAAACAGCAAATGGCCATGGGTCAAAATCCAAATCGTACCCCCAGTGAACATCCCAATCCCCACTAAAATAACTAAAATTGGTAATGCACCTACTCCAAAATGGTGACCCACAGCCAAATGGCCAAACAGCAAGGCATCGCAATGGCGAGAGTTGGCACGTCGGAAGCCACTTTTGGATGTTCCATGCAAACCAAAAGAAAAGCAATTCATTCTTCAGGGTCACCATTTCAAATGGCTTTGTCTCCAAATGTGCATGTGTCACAATAGGGGTACCCTGACAGTTGCGTTTTTGTTTGGTTTCCCTTCTTCGAACCAATGACACCCCAACAAGCCAACCTTTGAACCTTAAGCTAACTAGAGGCTGCCCTATACTCTCCCTTTGGGGTGGTTTTGACATCATGTTTCCATTTTGAAGGTGTTTTTGTTTTTTGCGAGCAATAGGCAACCTGGGCAATTCTACAGGAAGTCCTTGCTCTGGATGATGGGTTGGTTTAAACCTCCTGTAGAAATTCCTCCTGGGACCGGGACCCAAACGGACCCTGTGGAGCCCAGGCTCTGCTTTACAGGAGTTGACCGCAGCCCCGACGCTGATGGCATTTACCTTGCGCGGTGAATGACGGGCTTTGCATCGAGAGCCCCTGGAATCTGGTTTGCAAGTCTGAAATGTTAGAAAGAGTGAACCTTTTCTTGGTTGCATTTCAAGGGAAACCCTGGAAGTTGGGTTGTGTCTCAAGCGAAGCAAAGGCCCGCCTTGGAGTAGGGTGTCTCTGAAATGTTCATAACAGCGAACCTCTTTTCGGTTGTATGTGTGCCTTTTTCAATCCAGGGCAACCAAGGTAGACACAGTCACGGTTAGAGCCAAGCCCAGTTATAGAATATATATATATATTGTATTGTTTGCTTCACATGGAGTCACTGGTAGAATGAGTCTACCCCAGCAGTAGAGAGAAGCAAGAACTTGTCCACACTCCAACCCACCGCTCCGATTCGCCTATGGTCCCTCGACTTCCACTATGGTCCCTCCTGATGCAACCTGGTGGATTCATAGGTTTGGCCTCCCAAAAACAAAGAAGATCGGATCCTCGTCCAAAACGAGTTAATCCCAAAAACAAACCCCCACCCCACCCCAAAAAGCTGACACATCCAAATCCTCCCTGGTTCACCCCGTGCGCATCAACCAGAATCCTGGTCAACAATAAAAAAAAGAAAGCCCGGCCTCCAGGCGCAGTTGTCTCATCTTCTGCAGCAGTTGCAAACTCACACGCCAGGGGCCGTCCGTGGAGTAGGCGATCACGTCAGCCTCTAGGTGTCTCCTCAAGTGTCTTGCTGCGCAGGCTATGGGTTTCAAATGGATGGGTTCCAAATGTGGCACAAACAAAAAGGTTGGATTTTTCTCCGAAAAAACACTCCCAAATTGGATGGCCCAACAATTGGCTTGGTTCCATTTGGTTTTCGCTTAATCCACAAGACCCACCCAGAGCGAGCTCCTCGCTCACTCTCGAACAGCTGGAGTCCGGGAGATCTAACAAGGTCCACAAACAAGGCAGACCCCGTGGACATCAAACATTTTGCAGCTGGTTCCTTACCACCTGTGCCGTCTTTTCCAACAATCAAAGTCGAGAGGATGGGGTTTCGAAGACGGCTCTCTCCAAAAGGACCCCTCGACCATTCCATGACTTTTTGGTGGGGCAAGCACCACCAAAAGGAAGCTCGATTCAAATTGGCCTTCCAAGGTGACGATTGAAACCAAGTGGTGGGCATCTAGAGGGAACCGCTTCAGGACCCCAAGGACAGCAAAACGCTGCGGGGGGTCTAGATCAAACGCCCCAGACCCCCCCCCCCCCTCCCAGCCCAAACTCATGAAAGAAGCCGGTTTACAACATTGAATAGCTGGGGGCCCTGTCACAAAGTACCAAATCATTATTTTCACGGCAAGAGAGTCCTTTCTCTCTCTCTCTCTCTCTCTCTCTCTCTTAGGCTATTCCTTCCAGGGATGTTCTTTTCCAACCGCCAAAAATCCAGGGCAACCACCTGGTTTAACTTGTCAATCGTCAAACAAATGGAAAGGGAATCAACCCCTACCCAGTTGTTCAGGGACCCTGGTCAACAAATGGAGCCCTTTTTGCTGGTTGACCATCTGTAATGAGTCCAAAACCCGCAACAAAACGGGGAAACTAATCGCTGGAATCCACTAAACTGCGCCTACATCTGATCACTCGAGCGGCTTTTCAAGTATCTCGAGAAGGTTCATGGAGCGCTGCCACTGCCAGCGCAGGCCGCTGTAAGTCACAATGTCTGCTTTAGTTCGCGAGCGCACGTCTTCCAGCCAAGCTGTGGCTTGCTGCCACTGCTCCTTGGACTGACGATGTGTCAGCATAGGGATTTGGCCTCAAAATGAGGGCTGTTCTTTTGGTTTCTCTTTATACCACCCCCAAAAAGGCTACCCTCAACATAGGACACCCCCAAACAACTCCCTTCGATCCAAGCTGCCAGCAGGATTTTGGAAGACTATCTTCCTTGGAAGGCCCCTGTCCACATCCGTGCTTCTTGGCTTCTTGGAGTGCAGCAAAACTCTGCATGCTAGCAATGCATTGCAGTGTTTCTGCGCCCGGAATCAGGATATTAACAGTGAGAACATGGCAAGTGGCGCCTTGTGGGGAAGCCTCTCAGCATCGTGTGAAAAAGTTGCGGCGCCACTCCGACAGACTGGGCCGAAGCCTACGCGCCACGTGCTGGTGAGTGGATATCGGCGTGCCCTGCTTCCTGCTCAATTTTGTATCAACGTTTGCTTGCGCTGAAAAGGGAGAGCCGCCAAAAACCCATGGGCAGGCTCGGTTTTCTTTTTTGAGTCGCCCGCGTTCTGCGGGCTAAGAAAGGGCGAGGGAGAGCCAAAGGAAACCCACCATCTTCGGGGGTCATTTTGAGACAAACCCACACTGAGTCAAAGCAATCCGTGCAAATAGATTCCAACTATGCCAAAGCTTGCTGAAGCTCATCTGTGGAGTTGAGCATCTGCCCGCCTCAGGCTATCCATAACCGCATTGCAGGCCACGATGCCTTAGCTGATGGGCCTCCCTTGGGCTTGAACAAACAAACGCCTGTGGTTTGCCCTGCTTTTCACGCGTTGGTTCATGGGCCAAACTGGGCAAAAACCCAGAACCCTTGCCGGTTCTTCAGGGACACCCGGTCTCTTGGGCCGGACACTTTCTTGCACCTTTACATGGAATCTGCAAAAGGGCGGGCGGGGGCGGGGGCCATCGCGGTGAGACATCGAGAGTCGAGCAGCTCTGTCGACTTCCTTTTTGGAGCCGCATGGCTTCTTTCCAGTGATGCCTGCACGCGCTGATCGCAGAGCCGTAGGCGATCACCTTAGCATCGGAAAAGAAACATGTTGCCGAGATGTGCAAGATGCGGCTCTTACCCTGTCAACAACTTTGGAAGACTACTTTTCTTTTGGGGAAGGCCCCCGTTCACTTCCATGATTGTTGGACATAGGCAGAGGGTTTTACTCTCACCCCTTTCACCCACACGATTCCTGCAAAACCGCCACATGTGCGGGTGGCAAGACACCATCTGAAGATTTTCACAAGACCACGGTTGCTTTCTGCTCCCCTGCTAAAAGTTTAATTTTTAGCGGTTTCATGAAAGACCCATTAGTTGACAAAAAGTTAAAGTCCTAACATGAAAGCAAAATGCAACAAAGAGACCTTCAGCATGAAATGCCAGGGCGCATTGGGTTGGATTTCTTTGCGCTGCGCCTCCTCCAGCAGCGCAATGGACAGCTGCCACTGCTCAGGTCTGCCGCAGGCGCTGATGGTAGCGGCATATATGATGACATCGCCCTGAATCTCCCGCTCCTCAAGCCCCAGTCAAAAATGCCAAAGCACACCCTGTCTAAGCCAAAGCCCAGTTGCCAGCAGCTCTGTCAGACTTACTATTCCTTGAATTTTGGTATATGGGTATGGGTCAAAATTAAAGCCCCAGGGGACCGCAGGTTTTCGTCCATGTTTCCATTTGCCAGGGTTCCATTTTGAGTACTTTTTTCTTTGAGCCACTCCCAAAATGGGGGGAGGGGGAAGGGCTTCACAATCTTATTTATAAAGGTGCAGCTGCCAGCAAAGTGGAGGCAATTCTCCGTGATCATGAGATAGCTAGCAGCTAAATATAAAGAGCTCGAATGACCCACCCACGTATATGCATGACTTGATGTTTCATCCATTGTTGCGCTCCATTCCCGCATATCCAGCAAACAACTTACTCGGTCATGCTAAATGTCAAAGGAGACCCCAATAGAAACCATTCCAACAATGAGGAACCCGCAAGAACAATGTTTGGTTGACTTCATGTTGGCGTCCCTTCCAACACACACACACACACACGCACGCACACACACACACACACACCAGAACCAAGAAATTAAATTTCGACCTGCTTTGGCGTGCCCCATGAAGCATCGGCACATGTTTGGGCCCTTAGACGGGGGTCCAAACTGTATGGGGGACAGTGCGAGCCTATGCTGGACCCTCCCACCAGCTAACATGAAAGTGAACAGACCCCTGTAAAAAGACTACTTTTCTTTTGGAAATGACCTTTTTGCACTTCCATGTTAGCTGGTGGGAGGGTAGCCTCTAAGTGTCCGCGGGGACCTTGTCCAAACCCACGTGTCTCCTCCAAAGAGCTGAGCAAAGCGAGCGCCGGCTTCCAGCGCGCGGCTCTCTCACAGGCAGTCACCGCAGCGCTGCAGGAGATGATATCTGCTCTTAACTGCCTGCATCGAGAGAGGGCAAGATCTGAGCAAGAAAATGGGGCTGTCTCAAAGGGACACCCCATAGTGGTGGTTTGCCTTTTGGTTTCTTGTTTCCTGGCAGGTTGCCATGTGACTGAGAGGAAGAGCAACTTCCTGGATTGCTTTTGCGGCCACGGTTGCCAAGGATTCATGCACGATCGACTATCAAGTCGAGGCAAAAGCTTCTATGGTTGGTCGCACGACTCAAAGTTTGCCTTGGCAAACATAAATCCGTGGCTCGAAGCGATCTTCGCAGCGCGCGCTTGCATGTTTCCTGTGTTTCAATTGCCCGGGCACCATGAGCAGCTCAAAATGTCCGATGGCTCGCGAGCAGCAAAGACCGATTCGCCAAACCAGCGGCCGCTGTTCAACGTGTGCGGGCAAACGCCGAACGCCGCCCCCATCAATCAAGCCACTTATGTTCCAAAAGGGCATGGGGACATGAGCCGCGATGGTTTTGGGAAAAGTTGGGTCTGTCTTCAAAAAGGGGTACCCAAAATGGTTGGCGTCCTTTTACCTAAAGGAAACCTTCCCAAGACGTGGTCCCCCCAAAACAAAATAGACACACCCATTTAGCGCTCGTCTTCTTGGCTGACTCAAGGCCCCGCCTTTCCTCCAAGGTGGCGAAAGTGACCAGGGCTTGTTGCCACGCGCCGGCGCATGCACTGATTGCCTTTGCTCCGAACCGGTTCTCTCTGACCCAGCCGGAAAGCACCAAGGGTAAATAGGGATTAGGTTGGAAAAAGCAGCGCCCCGCCAAAACAAAATGAGCTTCTTGCCCCCCGGATAGCCACAACACCATGGGTACAAGCTTGAAAAAGCGTGCTGCCCAAACGAAATGGCATGATCTTCTTGCCGGATAGCCACACAGGAGGGCAATCATGCAAGTGGCAAAGTCAAAGAAGCATCGCCCCATACAGGTTGATCCTGTGGTGTGTTGCAAGGCTTTGAACTTGGCGCCGTTGGAACGCCAAATACGCAAGGCCGAACCGCTCTTCCAGTGCCAAGCAATCAAGCAGCAATTGATGATGCATTGCGCAAAGGCTAACTGGCTGTGCAATATTTGGGGCCTGCAGTTGTAGTTCTGCCGTCTTTGGCGCATACAACCCGGTCCAAAGGAGGGATTTGAATCGGCAGCCAGTTGACCAAACCTCAAGATGTCTTAAACAATTCATAGTGCAGGTTGGGACTTGCAAAAGAACTATCAAAGGGCACTTCCAAAGGCCTCCAAAAGTGGAAGCGCCCTTCCACCCTTTGAGCTATAACCAAAACCCGGTATGAGCATGGTCTACCCAGAACCATGCTTCAAGAATTATAAGTTTCGGCGGATATCCGCAACTTGTGGTTGGGATGGTCCCGTATACAAAACCTTCAATCCGCGGGTGATCAGAAAACCCCAGGCCGCCCAGCAGCTGCGTTGTAGGCCACCAGCTCTGCGCTTCCACGCGCTTCCAACTCCTGGAGCAAGTGCCAGGCCTCTTGCCAGGGTCTTCTTCGAATGGCCTGTCGCAGTCGAAGGACTTCCTCCTTCTTTCCAGGCTGTGGGTCAAAAATGGGTTTTCGTTTTGGAAGCCCGGTAAATGGAACCAAAGACTAAAACCTGCGATCCCCTGGTTCAATTTTGACCCATACCCCAGGTCCATTGAAGCTGCTACTCTTAGAGGTTCGCACACACAAAATATTGGAGGAATTGAAAGCAAGCTGCGTGTGAGAAAGGCGTTCCAAAGGAAGGCCTAGGCTCTGAATCAAAGTGACTTCAAAGGAGGTGCCCGAACCTCAAAAAGTGGAACAAACGCTCTAAAGCCCGACGCAACCGTAAGGCTCCTTTGGCAGTCAGTCAACCTTCCGTTGTTTGACTTCCATTTGGTTAAGACCCCTGGAAAAAAACAAATATTTCCAGTAGTGATAGATTCCCTTTAAAACCACACATAAAATGAAACATTCATTTGGGTGTGTGTTTTTTTGACGTGGCCGTGCCGGGAGGTTGGTATAAGGGGTATGAATCGCAGGTATGGTTCGGGGTATGGCTCGGGGGTATGATTCGGGGTATGGCTCGCGCGCCTCTGAACTCTTGCTTTGTGGCTTTGGACAAAGCTCCCGCGCGCTGGCAACTGGATAGCCGTGAGAATTTGGACCGCTTAGTTGCCACAAGCCAGCCTGGGGCGCTTATGAGTGGCCTGAACTAGACAGCTGCCACTCTGCGTGAGTGGGTTAGCGAAAGCTGCTGCGCTAGGTGGAAGGCGCAGAGCCACTGCCTGCAGTCACGAACCAGCGTAAGGGAAAGACAGCGTGACATCCTCAAACGGCAACTGCGCAGAGGCCACCGTGTCGCGCTTGATACATCGCAGTAAGCCTTCCGAACCCACCTTCTGGCGAACTTCTGCGAAAAGAGCAGTGCTTCTCTTTGAGTTTTGTGTCTTCTGAGGATTTGGGCGGCATAGCTTCGCTAGCACTGCCCAGAGCGCAAGAGGCTCCTGGCTGCAAATGGCAGCAGAAGGGTATGAATCGGGGTATGAATCGGGTGTGAATCGGGGGTATGAATCGGGGGACAGATTTTTTTCGACCGGAAAGACACCAAGAGTGCCCCAGGAGCACAAAGACAGCTTGTGTTTCACTGCGACAGTGGCCCAGGACAGACAGCTGCTTCCACCGCGTCGGACAGACTGCAGGAAGCAAGCTCCAAGTTTCAAGCTCAGCAGCGGCACCCCCCGCCAAGTCCCAGAGTCTTACGTCAAGCTGCACCCCCCGCCACAGCACCACGGATGCTACAGACAACTCTAGTACCAGGACATCCGCAGGATTGCTCTATAACTCCACCCATTGGCACTTTCCATTGAAAATAGCAAGCCGAGACCGAGGTGGGTAACCGAGTGTCAAGGAACACCACTTGAGCCAAAATGGCCCCCCACGAGTAACCAGTGAGTGTGTGAGTGGACATGTCAACTGTACTTGGCCCCATGACATCAGAGCCCAACCATGCAAGCATCGCAGACTCAAGAATAGATCCAGGAACCACAAGTGAACCAGGTATTACCTCGGAGTCCCTACCCCCTGGCATCGGTCCACATGTCACGCTCTCTAACACTGTTTCTTGACAAGACCCCCTTCTTCACTTGAAGTTAAACCCCCTATAGCTTCCAGCTATCCATGGATCACATGCAAATGCCACAGTTCTTGCAAGTTCTTTGTTTGTGTTTTTTAAGGGGCATGACTCGGGGTATGGCTCGGGGGTATGGTTCGGGGTATGATTCGGGGGTATGGCTCGCCCAAGCCCCACCTCCCACGAAGACTAAAGAACTGACACGGTAAAAAAACACAGACCCATTTGGCCGTGGGTCCACACGAATGGTACCATTTTGGGGTAGGTGCACCACCCATTTTTGTTTATTTTAGTGGGGATTGGGATGTACGATTTGGGTTTTGACCCATGGCCATTTCAGCAACTGGAAGTTGAGCAACTGGAGCCCCTGGAGCAAGCGCCTGGGTGAGCTCCACCAAGCCGCCCGGGGCGCATGCGCCCCATGCCATCGAGCGACACCTCTCCAGCGCCCCGGCTCTCCATGATCCAAGCCGGAGGCACCCAAGTGGTGGCTCAAAAATCGAAATGGTAACCCCAAAATGGGTTGCCCTGGCAAATGGAAACCAAGACGGCCAAAATTAAACCACGAGGAATTGGACCGCAGGTTTTGGTCCATGTTTCCTTCTACCAGGGTTCCATGTGTTGTACCTATTTTTGACCCACAGCCAAATGATACTTGAACCCAGGAGAAATGTAGGGACCCCTGCGCTTGGCACAAATGGCTGCCATCGCGGGTGGGCATGGCGGCGCGCAAAGCACTCAACAGGTAGTACTGCTGAATGTGACTTTCCCATACAAAGCCATGCTTTGCCAAGCCTCCACACATAGTCGCCAACGTTCAACCATAACTGCAGGGTGGCTAGAACTCATGCACCTGTCCTTAAAAAGACTTGATTGGACTGGGCAAAGCTAAAATATGACTGACCAGGATGGCTGGCAGGAAGCTGGCCTTTGTTGTGGGTCTAGAACCAGTTGTTCACTTGGGGAATGGCTACTTTCAGTTTCACCGGGGCGGCCGCTTGCTGCTGTTTGTTTGCTGACAGGCTTGAACGCTACTGCAGCGCAATCTGCACCTATCGTCAGATTGCATTGCAGCACATGTTGCCCACACTTAGCTGCTGGTTCTTGTTGGCTACATACCAAGTCGTTGAATTGAACGTTTATGGAAACGCCTAGATACTATACAGTATGCATACGGCTTCTGCAGTTCAACTGCATTCGTCCCAATATGCGGGTCAATAGATCTGCAATAACCGACCAAAATTTGCTAAAAAACCAGCAAGCGTCGCAGCCGCTTCATCTAGTTGCATCACCGGGTTCCCAGGGTTCCCAATCATGGAGCCCCCGAAGATACCGATCTTGAGGTTCTATCATCTGCTTGGACCGCTTTTAATGAACATTTCTTGGGCCCCCCGAACTCCCCCTTCAGCCCCTCAGCAAACAAAACGCATGGCATGCCAGCCGGCCAGCGAGAACGCGAGCACCGGGCCGGTGGTCACGCCGGGCTGAACTGGGGTCAGCGTCCTAGGCCACTTTCATGGGCCACTTGTTTGCTCCACTATGTTTGGCTGTTGGCCGGCTGGTTGGTTGGTTGGTTGGTTGGTTGGCTGGTTGGTTGGTTGTTTGGCGCGCCGGTTGGTGTGGCTTTGACGCCCGGCAAACGTTCACAGCTTTCCTCCCGTTCGACCTCGGAAAACAAGGGACCGTCTGCTCGAGGGCGGCGGCTGTTTTTTGCGCCCACCCTCGGAGCCGTCCCTCCAAGAAACAGCAGCAGTGCGAGAAAATGTGCTGCAAAGCAGTCAAAAGGGGACCCCGAGAATCAAACAACAAGTTGAACCCCTCACCCATGATCGCCTGGAAGCTAACGACCAGCTTGGAAATGCATTGTTTCTTCCCGCTCACTGCCAGCTACGACCATACAGCATCGGAGCCGCTTTGTTGAGCGTCGCCCTTTCTAAGAGTGAATGGAGGTCTGAGATATCTTCCAGTTAATTTGGCATCGGCAACTTCGGCATGCACGCAGGAACGTGCAAGACTCACAACCTCCTGCTTTCGGTCCACCACTCGTTGCCTTTGAACACTTTGCGACACTCCCTCGCCACCTTGCATGTTGCCATGCGTGTTGCCGGCAAAAACTGCGAGATTCACCCCAATGGAGCCCAAAATTGCCAACGTCATACTAGAAGCCCGATGGCCCGAAGAGAACACACTGGGCAGCATGATGCTGTCATCCCCAAACACAACAACGACAGCGGCTGGCACAGGAGCCCGAAGCTGCGTTTAAGTCCTGTAGGACTGGTTAATGTGCGAAGAGTCCGCGGCATTTGGCCGTGCTGTTTTTCGTTTCCGCGCCAAAACACCCGGCCTTTCCATTAACCTAAAACCCAATCTCTGCGCCTCGTAGTCGCTAAAGTCATCGATGGGCACCTCCTCCCGCGCCCGAAACGCATTTGGGCGGCATAGCCCCGCAACCAAAGTTGCGGGCTGTTGTGATGCTTTGCAGGGTGGTGTCATTGATTTCCAATTCGGCTCAAGTGCTTTGCAACATGGATCAATGGTCTTGTAGATTGCCTCAGTTAATCTGCAATTTGGCTTGGCAATCAGCATTGCCTGATTCGAGCAAGCCACAGTATCAGCAAAGTCGTCCGGGAATTAGTGAGAACATGGCGGCCAAACTCCTCGCACCGGTCACCCCCTGGGGGAAAAACAAAAACAAACAAAAAACATCAGTAGATAGAGTCCCTTTAAAACCAACAGGGGAAAATAAAACATAATCTTAAGCAAATGGAAGCATCAGATTGCCTAGAAGACCCACTTCCCCCCTTTTTCGGTTGCCGTGTGAGGGAGAGCACCCCGAGTTCGGGACCCACGTGGCTCCTCCACAGCTGCAGATCGCAAGACCTTCAGCCAGACACTCAGCTGATCCGAATCGGCCGCAGCCAGATGCCTCGGTCAAGTTTCCAGTGGCTGCGCAGGACGCCGAAGCTTGGCAAGGTTCCAGTGGAATCATTGGAGATATGTGGGCAAACTATTATAATTCCCAAACCGGAAACAACTGCATCCGCTGGCAAAGGGCCTTCATCATGGGTGAGAGCACGTTTTATCTCCCCACCACCCGCCAAAGAGCTTGATCTGATTTGCCCAACTTCTGCTGGATGACAAGTCTGAGTAAGTCTAACAAGTCAAAGACCACTCTTGTTGCGGGCCAAAAAAAACATGGTACGCCTCTGATTGCGTGGGCCCGTGTCCCATTTGGCTTTGAAACCCATAGCTAGCTCAAATTTCCAACTCGGCCCAGCTGCCATGAGCTCGTGGTCTTGGCCTGGCGAACAGGCGCCACGAGATGACTTTCGCCTGACACAGCCACATGGCAGCAAGACGGGTGTAAATTTGCCTATTGTGACGGACTCACACTTAGAAACAGGTTTGGTTTCCAAAATTCCGGTTCCACGCGTAGAAACAAATTTGGGCCAAATACAAAAAACATCCATAGCCATATCAAAAAAAAACAACTTCCTGCAGTACATCTGCAATCTGAGGAATCCCCGCAGTTTCATGGGCGGATATTCTCTCTTGACCCCTCGCCTGAGTTCATGGTGCACCAAAACTTCCGAAACCCTTACCCTATTACAGGCAAACATTTTGAAGTGCACAGGCCCCCTCCCTCCGCCCCAGCGGGAAGTCTGCTTTACTTTTGGGAAGTGCACGGAACTTCAGGACCAGCGCCTTGCTCTGGGCCTGCAGGGTGAAGCCATGGTCTTTCGACCTGAGATACGGCAAATGCGACCAAGAGACACCACAGCAGAAATGCAAAGTGGTCTATCGTAGGATTCACTCAGTTGCCGAAAGGACCTGGAACTAAAAGGTGATCACCGTTTGGGGCCATGACTAAATATGGACCAAATTGGGCACCAGCCGGGTTGCTTGCTCAACGAGCGCTCGCCAAGGGCTTCCCCACTGAACTTGGACAATTGATGAGCTTTCTTGTGATAGCAACACGGGTCGTGCCCATGACGACCGTGTCCTTTCAATCCCTTGCTGTCACAGAAAGTTGACCTACAACCATATTTCCCACAACCCCGATTGGAATCCTCTGAAACAAGGACGATGAATGCTATTCGTCAACAGCGTTGACGAGGAGTTGCTGTTCCCATCTTTCTTCTTACATCGGTCCAACAGACCCTCATTGCTGAAGTTGCCAGGGTACTCAAATGCCAATCTCATCGGGTCAAAAACCGTTCGATGCTTCCATCGCGAACCATTCGAAGGTGTCGGGGTATGCCGCGACTCGCCGGCAGTCTCCAGAAGTGCCAGGGCCCTCTGCAGTGAAGTTGGAAGACCCTCCGCAGCCTGGCAAAACACGCAAAGTTTGAATCGGGCGGGCCAAGTGTGTTAAAGGCCCAAAGGTTCCGCCAAAACTTCCCATTCAGTGGTCATTGTACATAACGCCCAAGTGGCCATCAAACTGCCGTGTTTGATCCCTCACAGGGAAACATAAGGACCATGTGTGGCCCACCAACCAATTTTGAGATAGTCGCAATGCAAGTTCCAATCAGTATGAGACAACCTTCAAACTCGTGTCTGCGCCTTCGTGCCGGGGGTCAGCTGCGCGTAACCTGGCTGGCTGCCCAGTGCTTGGCCAGGTGCAAAAAGCAGGGGACCCCCTCATAGCGGTGGTCACAACAGCCACTTTTGCACGGTGGCGCCGCCCCGTGCCGGCCTTCAGTGTAGGTGCCCCATGTATGCGGGGGGGCCTCTGAATTCCTGGGAGGGAAGGCCCAAAAGTACAAAGAAACACCAGCAACCATAGACACTTTCACACGAAAGTAACACGAATTGCACGCTATGCTAATCACACAAACGCCAATGCACTTCAGCGCTGTACAAGCACTGGAAACGACATGAGAGTCGCATGCAGTGCCCTCCTACCCTGAAGGTAGCACTCACCCTTAAAGGTCAAAACCACTGGCCAAATTTTGGGGTAGGTGCACCACCCATTTTAGTCTATAGTGGGGATTGGGATGCTCACTGGGGGTACGATTTGGAGTTTGACCCATGGCCATCTGCGTGTTGGATGGCATTCTCTATGCTTCTGTGGAGCTTGGTCCCCGTTTCCTTTCCGCCTTTTTGGCCGGAAAAGCCGCACCTCTCTTGGAGGAGCAGCTCTTATCTTCGAAGATCTTCAACGCCTTCGGCCAGCCCGTGGTGCTGGAAAAAGGAGTCCCTGGATCTTCCAAATCATGGAAATTTAACGTAAAATCCGGAGACTACCAGTTTTTTGAGGGTCTCACCAAAAAAAAAACGCTGAGTTTTCAAACTCCCGGTTTTGATCCCGGAAAAGGTGTACCTGGGTGCCCCCAGCAAAAGTATCCCAAAAGTCACGTCAACATGATGCCCCAACTCGGGGAAGATTCCCAGAACTCCGCGATTCCCGATATTAATGCCATGTCGCAAGGATGCTCGTGGCTCACCCGCAAAAAGAATAGAAACATCATGAAAGCTGCCCTGATTAGAGCCAACCCAAATTGATCCAGAAGGTTTGGCTGGACACCAGTCCCTCACAGCCTTGGGTCAAACTGTCTTCGTCGTGTCAGCCAAATGCTGATAAGACCGTCCCCGATTCTGCCATTTGCTTTAGCCCCCTGGAAGAAAAACAAAAACATATCCAGTAGTCATAGATTCCCTTTAAAACCAACAGGGGAAAATTAAACACATATTCATTTCAGCCAATGGAAAAATATTTCCTGAGGCCCAGGCGCCGGGCGTCAGCACGCACCACCTCCGGCGCATTTTGGGGGTGATCGCAGCAGCTGGTTTTGGGAGTGCAGCAAAGCTCTAGGGCGACCTTCCATTTCCATTCTTCCCAGGGATCCGAATTTCTTTTCAGGAAACCATCAAAAACCCGGTGAAAACGACCGGTTCTTGAAAAGAAGGATGCTTGAAAACGACTGGGGAAGGTACCTAGAAACACCGGAGGGCTTCCAGTCGAAGAAAAGGGGAGCTCCTTTTGGTTGTGTCCAGGGTTCTTCCAGCCAGAATCTTTTTGCATAGTGCCTGGAAAGCAAAAAGCTTGCGCCCCGACTTGCGCCTCTCTTTCCAGGCGTCTTCTTCGAAGACCTGACCGGCGCAGAAAGAAATCGAGCTTGCAGGGCTACAATTTTTCGAAGGGCACAATGTGGGGGGAGACGACCGCCCCATGTTGATGTCCTGTGGATTTCCTTTAGACTACCATCCAAAAAGGAGTCTGTAAGCTCTACAACACCCCATAAAACTCCTTCAATGATTTGGCCGCAGCAAAGTGCTGACATCTGACAGCCTCAATGAGTTTCACCTGTGCAACCAATGCAAACTATGCGACGTAAAGGAGGTGTTTGGCCAAGTACTAAGCGCCACAGTGCATCTGATCTCCGCACTTTGGCCCCTTGCCACGCCTGCAACAGTCCAGAATGGAAGTGGGCATCGCCTTGCCACGGCAGAGTGCCCCACGCCGCGAGCGACTCCCCGGGACTTGTTCATGTCATAGTTCACTGGGACCTTGACATGGAACCCTTTTGACTTAATTGTTTGTGCTTTCGGGAAAACAAATCGAACATGCATCCTTTTTGGGTTTCTTGAAGACACTATCCTATTTCAGGAGAACAATATACTGGGCCAAACAAAAACAAACAATAGTTCATATGACAATAGTGGATCCTGGGCGTCCAAATGTGTAAAATCCTATACCCCTGCGACGACGAGTGACAACCGAGCGTGAATGTTTCCGCCTCTGACGTTTCCAAACGAAAACCCACTTTAGAGAAATGATCTCAGGCAACGAAGAAAGTAAGAAGCTGTCAACAAACATGAGAAACTGGGAACAGCCGTGCGACTGTTCTGGCTTGCACTTTCTTGAACCTGCAAGCCTCTTGCATCCGCTCCATGGCATGTGTATTTGGCTGACCCGAACTCGTTTTTACAAGCACACAGAAAACCAATGAAACACGTGCCCATGCGCATCTCAGCGCGCCGCCCTCCATGGGTGCAGATAGCAACCAAATCTGCTACCGCAGCCTTTGTTTTGCATCGTATCTTGTGTCGGTCGCATCGCTCTTCACAAACACACAGCTTGCTTGGTCAGTTTAAGCCAGACTTCTACCGCTTTCCAGCCTAAACAGTCTGAACATGTCCAAGCTACGGTCAACCACGATATGGCATGCTCCGCAAAAATGCTCAACGTCCTGTGAGTGCTGTGCACATATTCTTTTGGAAGTGCTACAATATCTGCAATGCTTCGCACGAATTCTGCTGACCATCCTCGCCAGAACGTCTTGATGCACACGCTGCGGCGGAGCGACTGCTAGTAGCAACACCCCTGCATCGACCCAGCGCAAGCAGTCGTAAACCAAGGGAAGGATAGATCTTTGAAATCGGAATCAGCTAGGCTCGGCTTGGCTCAGGATTTGGGGAAGACCATTTTTAGTGGAGAAGCCACCAGCAAAAAGGGGGCGAAAGGGTGCTGAACTGAAAATACAAGACTTCGACCCCTGAAATACGGGTATCCCCAAGCAACGCAGGGTCCTTCCTGAGTTCATGTTACCAGGTGAGCTTTGAGCTTCCCACCAAATCGGACTGATCCACCGGGATCTTTGATCCATGAGCTTCCGTGCCACTGGCGGCCAGGGCTGCGGTGATGCTGCAAGGCCCCGGGACACTCTTCACCTTAAAGGCTTGGAGGTCGCAAGCTGTTTTTTGTTTTTGGTATTCTTTCTGGCCGCAAGCTGTGAGCTCTCAATTTCAATTCCCCTAACGGAGGGTCAGTTCCATGTCTGGCCCAAATCAAAAGGAAAACAGGACCAGAAATAAACCCACAACACCCTGCAATTCCAGCTTGGACGCTGGGATTGACCAAACAAGTGACAGGCAGCGGGGCCTGTTCAAACTGCAATTCTGATCTGCCACCTCAGCCAAATGTCACATCCACCTTCGCGACTGCCTCTTTCCCACAGTCTCATCCGATGCCACAGAATCCAATAATTTGAGCCTGAGCACAACCTCTTGGCTACCCAAAGGATAAGAAGAAGTATGAGCATGAAGCTTGGGGTGTTTCCCAGGTCAACCCAACAACTACTTTACAATATCATATCCTTCAAGCCAATTCCCTATAGCCAGAAATATTTGAGCGTGAAACCATTTGGTGCCCCATGCCTCAAGTGACTAAGTGGCTGTAAGCCTCCAACAGTGATGCCCGCATCGTGGGCGGCGCTTACAAGCCTTGGCTCCAGAACCCACCGATTCACAGGCAAGCGATTTGGAACGGCCACTTGGGCAAGAAATCAAGAAATCGGAAGCATACGGGAAAGTTCCCAATGCTTCCCAGAAATCCGTTCGGAAAATCGCCGAACATCCTGTGCTTGAAAATGACAATGGTTGAAAAGAATTCGGAACCAACCCCTAGAAGCACAGGCGTTGCCTTTATTCCAGGTAGAATAATTTCACCCAAAACACTAGTCCATGTCCAGCAAAAGATCCTCTCATGAAACAGATCAAATGATCTGGGCCTCCCGGCTTACTTCCTGGATCGCACACGCCAGGAGTGCCAACCCGGGCCGTGAGGGCCACCTTGGCTTCCAGGTACTTGTGCTTCTTGTCGCAAAGCTAGTAGGAACATCTCAACGTAGCCAGGGTTTCATTCCGAAACACGCTCATTGCGGAAGGCATGCAAATCAAGGGCGTTTGATGGGGACAAATTACGACATCAACCACCCCGGCCAAACACTCATTGTGTGACAGGAACGTCAAGAACTGACTATCATTTGCTGAGCATTCGACCCTACGACAAAGGATTGAACTCTTTCCTGCCATCACCTTGTTGATCCAAGATACTGTTATTGTTTGAGGCACTCAACTATATTGTCCTGAGTCAAGCAAATGCAAGCCTTGAATACAAAGAGATATCACACTCATGGAGCTCACGTGGGCACGAAGTGCTCATGGCCTGCAATTCGTGAAGGCCAGGTTCTCAAACAAAAACACATGCTGGGCCAAGCTGTGGCACGTTTACTTCTTGAGTTGCCCACGTATAGACCGCCATACATTATATTATATAACCCTGGAGGTCGCCTTGATTTCTGTGGGGACATCGGAGCCCTGCCATTGGGCACAACAAAATACTCAGAATTTGTCTCGAAATGGCTTGATATGGTCTTGGTTGACGTTGGAAGGGGAGCAAAATTTAAATCTTAGCAGATAAGTGGGGATTTCAACCACTAAACCACAATAAGCAAAAATGTAAAGTGTTTCGCTTGAAGGGACACCAAAGGACACCAGCTTTGGGGACATTTGTCCTGAAAAAGGGAGAGGAACACAGAACCTATCAGCACGAGTGCACACCGGAGTGGAAAAGCAGAAAAACACGTATCAAAGTGTAAGGGCCTTCTTGGAGGTCCAATCTTATTGCACTACAAAACGGACTCAACTCAACCCTCCTTGGTGGGCTCCTCGCTATTTTGCCTCTATTTTTGGCAATGAAACGGCTGAGAATTCTCCAAGACGGCCTTTGCCCTCAAGCATTGCACGGCTCTTGTGTGTGGAAGATCAGCTTCGACTAAAAAGCCCCAAGGCTCCGCACGTCCAAGCCTCGCCGGAGTGCTGCGATCAACTCCCCAGTGCGCTCCTCCTGATAACTTCCGGGGCTGAAGAAACTTAACAAGTAGACCAAAGGGGGGCCCTGAACTGACACGCAATTCCCTTGCAGATTCACTCGGAGGGCCTGCTATCATCACACGAAGCCTCCAAACAATATTCACTGACCGGGGAAGACCTCTCATGGCCTTCGGATATACATCAAAAGTTGGCATCTCCAGATGATGGGCGCCCTGAGCCACGGTGTTCGGGAGTTAATTGGGTCACCTATAATACATATAGAAAATAAATAAATATATATATATATATATACGCATACCTGCATATTATGTAATCATGACCAAACTTGGTTTCAGACGTACCCCCCAACCCCATTCTAATTTGTTGGTGACCGAACCTGGCTTCAGGTGGGTTCCTGGTTTGGACAGGGTACTTGAATCGTGCGTTTGGCCATTGGAACCATCTCACAATTACGTCAGACCTGGGCAAATGTGCTGGCAAACTCTGGCTGCAAGCATGGTCTGATCTTAGGTGGGCTAAATGCTACCTACGCTGCAGTACCCTACCCTACTCTACACTACCCTACCTACCTTGGTTGCTGACCTTTCCTATTATCTACCGCTTCTTGCTATGCTCAGCCCCCATAGCCTGACCAAATTCCAATATGCAGCAACTGTTGCCCAGGAATGGCATACAATTGCCGCTCATACTCGCATCGATGCCCAAAATTTGTGGTCTTGCACTGGCAGCTCTTGACAGCTAGACTTCCGTCTCAAGCAGCTACCGGGATGAGTCAAACAAACCCAAGCGATGCATGGGCGTCAGGCCGGCCTCATTGTGGGCGTAGAAAGAAACAACTTCTTGCGCCGGATTCACCTGCGATGGTGAATCAATCACCCCCAATGCAACTGCTCGGGCACAAAGGATGGACAAGAAACTTGTCAAAACATTTCCTCAAATTTCAGGCACAAACTCCGCAAATGTTTGTTTCTGCTTGTTCGCTTGTGCTCGTTTTATGCGCTACATTGCCGGATTGTCTCGTTGCTGTTCTGTTTGGCCCTTGCATAAATATATCGTGTTGTTGGCAAAGCAACTTTGGCGCCCGTCAGAGTGTAATCTGCAGCTCGGGCATCGTTGTCAGTCTTGCCGACCTCATTGAGAGTCTCCAAAACGTGTGGGATTCCCTCCAATCCAACATGGATCCCCGCCCCCGCCGCGTACTCGACCAGGGTTTATCAATTCTGGGTTCCTGCTGCTCCACAAACTCACATGAAGCCAAAACAAAGCGGTCCCTCGCTGGAACGGTTGTCCGCTTTGGGCCCTTCACCACCATTGAATGCGGAATACAACATCAGCATTGGACATCCAACCGGTCCGCGGCTCAGACCCTTCCGAAGGAATGGCACAGCTACTTGGTGCAAGTTGGCACACGCTCCCCTGCAACTTAGCTAGAAGAGAGCAAATCAACAACGCAAGCTCCAGACATCAAGCAAGCAAGCAAGCAAGCAAGCAAGCAAGCAAGCAAGCAAGCAAGCAAGCAAGCAAGCAAGCAAGCAAGCAAGCAAGCAAGCAAGCAAGCAAGCAAGCCAAGCAAGCAAGCAAGCAAGCAAGCAAGCAAGCAAGCAAGCAAGCAAGCAAGCAAGCAAGCAAGCAAGCAAGCAAGCAAGCAAAGCAAGCAAGCAAGCAAGCAAGCAAGCAAGCAAGCAAGCAAGCAAGCAAGCAAGCAAGCAAGCAAGCAAGCAAGCAAGCAAGCAAGCAAGCAAGCAAGCAAGCAAAGCAAGCAAGCAAGCAAGCAAGCAAGCAAGCAAGCAAGCAAGCAAGCAAGCAAGCAAGCAAGCAAGCAAGCAAGCAAGCAAGCAAGCAAAGCAAAGCAAGCACGCAGCCAGCAAGCCAGCCAGCAAGATTGGGCTTGTTCCAATCTCTTCGCCATTTGTGCCTCCCAGTATTGCCTCTTTGAGCCGAGGGGCGTGATTGACTGCTGTCCACTTCGTGGCAGGACATGCGGCTGTCCTTTTTTCAGGATACCCTGGTTGGGTTCGTTTTTAAAGGGATATCAAAACCTATTAGACACACCCACGTCGTGTTTTTGGGTTGTTGTTTTTCTAAGGGAAATCAACACCTGTAAGACACACCATGTTCAAACCACACCCAGCCTGCGAAGAGTCAAGTCCTTTCAGCGCCTAGTCGATCGATGCCCGCTGGTAACTTCGGTCTTGACGGCTCAAAGGGTTCGCTGTGTGTGTGTGTGTCTTTGACAGGGCTGTGGTTGAAATGGAAATGACCACAAATCTGTGATACAACAGAAAGGGCTTCTCAAAGACTAACCGCCCAGGGGGAGATTTCCAAAGATATCACAGAAGTGGGAACAAACCCCTTGATCCCACAACCCTGGTCTTGAATGATACCCCTTTGGATTGGTTGAAGGGAAGCCAAAAGGAAAATCAGCTTGGGGGTGCACCTATTTTGACAAGTGATCTCAAGCTTGTCGTCATGCAATCAATGCTAGCGTGACACTGACTGCATTTAAGTGCCATCAAGCATCAACTCCAACTGCTCTTTAGGGCTGCCAGCTTGCCCTGTACTTGGCCTATCTGCTCTGGGTGTGAATCTTAATGGACCCTTCATGTCCACCAACCACTTGGCTGTGGGTCAAAACCGTTTTGGTACCATTTTGGGGTAGGTTCACCACCCATGTTGGTCTATTTTAGTTGGGATGTTCACTGGGGGTACGATTTGGATTTTGACCCATGGCCACTTGTGAAGGTGCGAGTCCTATTTAAGTTCACAGCCACGTGTGGTCCGCAAAAGGCCCCCGACTTTGTCTGCCATTTGCTTAAGCCCTGGAAAAAAATGTCAAGTAGTGATAGATTCCCTTTAAAACCAACAGGGGAAAATAAAATAAAAATCTTCAGCAAATGGAAGGCCATTGCCAGCTGCTCGTCTGAAGCCTTCCAGCTTGAAGGGGTCAGGAAACCAAGAGGGAAGCTTGCAGCTGCGAGGAAACCAATTGGCCGTGGCTCAACAATTGGGCGCCCCCCAACCCCAGCTTGTGAGAAAAAGACAACAACATCTGTCGACCGCTCCTTACCTTTCAGCCACACAACTTCCTCTCAATGGGATCTGTCCGATCCAAAACCTTGCCATCCTTCTTTGTCCGCTCCTGTGGCATCTGCGCACTCTCTGCAGCAATGAGATCGACGCCTGGCAGGCGCTCTCTCGGAAGAAATGTACCAAAATGGCACCTTGGCAAATGGAACCAAAGACCAAAACCTGCATAACCCTTGCTCTTTCATGTTGAGCCACACACATGTGTCAGGCCGGCCACCAACATCAACCAACAGAGTTGGCTCCATGTGTTCAGAGGCAGAAGGGATTCAAAGCGACATAACTGTGCCATGGCCAGTCCTCGATCAGAGTCCTTTTCGGATCTCTTTCCACGACAAACGCTAACGGCTTTGCCTAGATAGCCAAGTTGCTGCTTTTTTCAGTCACTGTTGCTGGTTTTTGCGGTAAAGTTAATGGAAAAAACGATCGCAACTGGCGATCCAGGGCCCTTTTGCTTTTCTACTCGCTCCTAGTGTCTGGCTTGCGGCCACGAGCAAGGCCCAAGGGCCACTGTCAGCATCCTTTGTTCCAGCTTGGTGGCCGCTCGCCGTGTGCTTGCAAGGCTAAAATGATCTTCTTAGGGCATACTTGCCTTCGAACGGGAAAATACCGCTGTGAACAGCCCTGCTTGTTTGATTGCTCCAACGGCCTGCAAAGACAGATCCCCTCTTAAACAGAATCGACACATCTGGCATAAGGATTCCTCAAATGCCGACAGAACATGGTGTCAAGTGCATGGATTGCCCATGCATATATGGGAAGATAGGCCCCCACAATGTCAGCTGCAGTTGAGGAGAATCATCAGGCCACCGACCAAGCCAACCGGATCGACATGCCACGACCAGGCCGACGGCCGACCCAACCTAGCACAAACAAAACAACTCAAGGCCTGGATCCAAAGACCATATTCTATCACCTATGTTCACTACTCGCAAAGTTACCACGGTTTCCCCAAGAGCACATGGGACAAATACAGTCTGTAAGTCCCTAGGAAAATGTCCCGCGCGTGCCCATTGTCCTTCCCACAACACTACTGGACATGTTGACCGAACCTGATACTTGCAAAGCTTACAAGTCGGCGTCGACAGCTCGCAGTCTGGCCCAAAAACTCAAAGCAATTGCTGCGCAAGGGGCTCTTCAGCGTAGAAACCACCCTGGCCTCGGGGTCAAAGTAACGCTTTTGGACTTGATTCTCAGGGGTACATGGGTAAAACTTGTTGTTGTTTTTTTTTGGGGGGGGGCAGACAAAACATATTCTCAAGAAGGGCTCTATCAAAAGAGCCGTTGCCGCACAAATACCTTTGCCATGCCCAAAGGTATCAATGCGCGAGGCAAGGCCATAAAGATTCGGTTTGCCTTGAATCCTTCGTCCAAAGCCATCGGTGAACATGTCAGTCCAGTTGCTGGGGAAACACTCGCTTATCCCAAAACTCAACACCAGTTGGAACCAGTACAGTCAGTGTGTGATTTAGTTTCATATTAATAGAGTGTCACTCATGCCAACTGGCGCAAACAATGATTTTGCGCATTCTCTCAAGGCTCTGACTGAAGCGTCCTGCAAGTTGCCGATGGGCATTGCCACGGTGTACCTATTTGCCACACCAACCGCGGAGGGAAAACAGAAACGGACAACTGGCCTTGGACAAGCTTCAGCGATGGATGGTGGTGATACTTTGTGACCCGGGATTTTGTTCCCTGGTTAATTCATGTTTCATCTGGGGGTGTCCAATTTGAGAGGCAAAATGTCCTGTTGGGGGAAACATTCACCAGCGAGAATCCGCAGCTCTGGGTGGACAGTACCTCCCGAGTTTCATGCCGGGGAGGGTAGGTTTGGCCCAGCTCAGCGAGTCGCGAATGCCTACAAGAACACACACACTCGGAGGGTCCCGCAGAATCCGTGTTCTGTTTGGAACGGTGCGCAAGGAGCAGACGCAAGTCTTCCACATGGGAAGACCTCGACCCAGCCCAGAGACCCCGATAGAAACCGGAGGCCTTTTTGTTCTTTCTGGGTTGAGCATTTCTAAAGGGGCTGGAACCCATAAGCCAAAAAGGGGACCTTGAGGCTGCTGAACAAAGTCGGTATGTTTCTTCAGACATATGTGAGTCAGACTCAAAACCTGGTAACAAGTCTTGGTTCAAGACTTGGTTCAAGACTCTAAAGCGACACACGAGGGTGCCGCTAACAGGGTTCCGTATATTCCGCCGGAAAATTACTGTATGTGTATATACATATATATATATATATGCATGTATGTATATATATATATAGAAATATATTGGCCCGAAGGTAAATTCACCTATGGCCAAAAACGTGATGTTTCAACCCACCAAATTGAGGGACCCTTTGGTGGACAGCAGGTGGGGAGCATTTTCGCCAAGCACTTTTGAGGGGGGTCACAATAAAGATTCATTCCCAAACGGGGGTCCTCAAAATAGTGGTCCCAATGTTTGTTTGGGTGTCCTGGTGGTTTCCCTCGAGATACCAGCCAAAAGGGGGTCCATCATTTGGCTGTGGGTCAAAAAAAGGTACTGAAAATGGGTTGCCCTGGTAAATGACACATGGGTTCTAAAATTCCTGCGGTCCAACTCCTAGTGGTTTAATTGTGACCCACACCCATTTTGAGAAACACTCATGGGGACCCGACTGAACCGGAGGCCCCTCACTTCTGAGTCTTCGGCAGCGTGCCAGGCCCGAAGCGCCGGCGAATCAACCTGCGCCAGCTGAAGCTCGCCCTTTCCATTGCCCCAAACCCCGTGGGGTTCAGTTGCCACCATTAAAGCCATGGGGAAGTTCATATAACCACCAAGTACCAAAGGAATTGTGTCAACCATTCTTTTAATGCCGGTTGAACCTTAGAGCCGTTGTTTCTCACAATACACTCCCTCAGACTAACATGGAAGCTCCCAGAAGGCCTCTGTACTGGAACCAAGTCTTCCAACAAATTCCTGGGAGCTTCCATGTTAGTCTGGGGCAGTTTACCTTCAAACTGCAGAACTTTGGCAGTGGTCTCAAACCGAAATGGAGGTGCGGTTTAGACGCACCATGGCCGGGGGAAAAGAATGGGAGGTCAGCGGACGATTGGGAGAGCTGTTGGAAGACCATCCTCTTCCACAGGCTCCTCATGTCCACTTCCATGGATTGGAAACAAGATACCCTTCATCCAACACGGCACCTGTGGGGTACCTGGATGATTAAAATCTCCCTTTGAAGGGACCCCCTGTCAGTTGCCATGGTGGGAGGGAGGGTATTATTTCTCACAAGGAGTAAGGGATACTTGGAGTAGCCAAAAATACTTGAGACCCTGTAAAATAGGAAGGACTCAAAGCTGAGCTGCCAGCGACGCCGCTCGGACTCTCGGACTTTTGCCACTGCGGCTTCGGTAATCGAAGGCACACGCCGGGCTTCGCCGAAACTGAGCTCCAAACAGCAACACTCCTTGAAATGCCTGGTGCTTGCTTGTGTCCAAAAGGCTTGAAGCTTTGCCGTCAGCGAAGGCTTCTTTAAACTGCGCCCTCACAGCCACCTGGCGGCGCCAGCCAGCCGAGGCAACTGGCTGTGTTCAAGCATCTCTTGGCGCTACACCTTTCATAGCAGACTGCCAATCTTCCAGCCATGCGTGGACCAACAAAACTCGTCCGGTCCCCCCGACACGTCTGCCACTCTCAGGGACTTTACACGAACACTGGACATCAATCTGAGCTGACTCACTGCCTTGCTCATTATGCCAACCCAAGGGCACTGTTGAACACATCACAGTGGCGATCGTCTTCCCAAGACCATGAGTTTGTCTCTACAGGCCCCCAAATGATTGGTATTTAAAATAAGGTTGCTTGTTCAAAGGCACCAAAACGAAACCATAAGAATAGAATAACGCAACACTACACACCCCATGTCGCTTTTGAAAGGGCTAAACCGAGGCCAGGCAAGCAAGTCATAGCGGAAACGGGCGCACTGGAGGAGGCAAACCAGCTGCACGGGGCTCTTTCTCCCAAACATGTCTGTGGCCCTGGCTGTGCAGCTCATGCTCCTTGCTGCTTAGTCCTGACAAGCTTAGAAAGACCACTGTTCTAGGGTTGATTCCCCATTCTTTTCAACCATCGTTCTTTTCAAACACCAGCTGTTGCCCAGGGTTTTGGGTGGTTTTTTAGAAAGAAGGATGCCTGGAAAGAATGGGGAAGGTACCCATAGAACTGCAATTCCCTTCGTATGCCTTCCAACAAACTCACAGGATAGCTTCCCCATCGTGGGGCCGATTCACGGCGATCCGTTTCGACATGAAAGCTTCCAAGCAACCACTCGGGCGCACTCGGTCTCTTTTGTTTTCGGGAACTTGGCTTTGTTGAGATAATGATGTTAAAGAAACCACGTTGAGGATGCCCTGGTTTTCTGAGGGTTTTTGTATTACACCCTGCCATGGGATTACACCCTTGGGCAATGACCCAGAATGGTTCAAACTTGTTTTATCCGGAAATGTGCCTAAATGGAGTCAACACCCAGTGGGTGTATTCCCAGGGTGTAATACAAAAACCCTTAGAGGTTTCAACCCTCAGTTGTTCAGTGACCCTGGAAAAAAAGACAAGCCTTTTTGGGGAAGACCACTTTTAGTGGGGCCACCAACAAAAAAAGGAAAACAAAACGGTGCCGCTGAACCACTGAGAACCACGTTGAGGATGCCCTGGCTTCGAGGCTGAGCCTCGACTTCAGCTAAGTCCCTGTCCTCCTGGTGCCTGTTAGGATCATGGATGAACTTCCAGTGCAGCTGCTTGGCCTCAACCGGCTCCAGGCGCTTCAAACCCAATGTTTGCATCTATTTCAAGCGGCTCTAACAAAAAGAAATCGAGTGGGGGTTCTAACCAATGGGCATGAATTCTGATTCGGGACCCTTTGGTGAACATCATTTAGGTCAGGATTTATGCCCGCCAAGCACTTTTGAGGTGGTTTCAACTCTCACAATTCATGGCAAGTGGGTTCCTTTCGGCACACATGAGCGTTGCTTTTTTTGAGGTTCAGGAGCTAAAATCCATCATCTGAGAGAGAAAAAAAACAAAAAAACATTCACATGATTGTCCTGCCGGGTCTGAGTCAAGACCCGCCTTCTCCGTGTCGAACTTCTGGCGGCATTCTGCGCCTCACTCTGGGGCCATTTCTCTGGTTCCAAGCATTGGCCGTGGGGTTCAGCTGCCACCATTAAAAGAATGCGAGTTCCTATAACCACCATAGTTTGACAAAGGATTGTCATCCAGATTGGGTGAGCCATGCCAAAAAAAGGCTCTGAAGCACATAGGCTCTTGAAGGATGCCAGCTGCCTGTCCACTCGAGGATTCTATTGCTACGAAAGCTACGCGGGTGAAATTTTGGAACGTCTGCTTCCAGGAACGTTTATAGAGTCCTTCTCATTTGGGGGACTCAGCGCTGCGCACTGGAACTTGCCATCTGTCTTGATGCCCACCTCGGTCGGGAAGTTGGGTACTCCAGACTCAGCTAGACTCCGGCCGTACGGGTGGGTGTTCTGGGTTCGGAAATGTTCGCCACGGGGTCGAGTTCCGAGTTCCGGAGATCTGTTTCGGTGTCCAGGCCGTGGCACAAGGGAAAAGACCTTGGTTGACTGTCACCATCGGCAAAATCGCCACTCACAAACCGGGAAATACGGGCAATCCCCGTGGGTGATTGCGAAAAACCGCCCAGAGCTCGTTTTCTAGCTTGCCCAGACATCATGGAGCCATCTGAAGAAGCTCCAGAACCTGTAAAAACGTAGACCCGAGGAAAGGTCAAGCTTTGGGGAAACCTCGAGCTTTCCAGTTGACACGCCTATTGGATATCATTTGACATTCCCCTGAATACCAGTACAGGCACGCACCTTCTCAGCTGAAGTGCTTTAGGTAGCCCTCCGTCCAATGCTGATGATTTTGCCAACCCCCTCCCCGGAACCCATCTTTTCTCACGGGTTTCTACGGGCTCTATTCTTTTCGTTTTTTCTACCGGGTACCACAGGAAACATACAAGTTCCACAGCTAGCGCTCAAAAACGAACATGGTCCATCCTAAAAAGCTTCAAGCTGAAGCAAAGAACGGGTGATGTATAATGCGTTCCACGCGAGCTAGCACGGACCCTGAAAGCTACGTTCTGCAGACTCAAACAGCCATGATTCTAATGGTTCTTACCCAGAAGTTAGGTTCTTCCAAACAAGTTGCTTTTCTGGTTCATGTAAAGTCAAAATATGTCCAAACCAAGAACAACCACACTTTTCAGCGGCAGGGCCCTAAGTTCACCGGGCTTTGGAGTCACCGGCAGTTGATGGCAGGGACCAGAACTAATCCGTTGCGGTCGGTTTCGAGCCATTCAACTGGGATGGCTGGAGTTTGGGTTTCCCAAGCGTTAGGGACCTAAACTTAGGGCTTCCTAAGCTAGGATTGATATCCCTAAGTTTGGGACTGTTGGTTGGCTTTTGAACGCTTCAAAGGAAACTTGCTGCTCCAATCCGCAGTTCTGGCATGTTTTTGTTCCATTTTCGAGCTCCCCTCAGGGTTTTCTTAGAGAACAAGAACAAACTGTGTAAAGATACAAACTGGCCGGACTGTTGAAACCGATGTTTGCTCAAACCTGGAGACCACTCCATGCGCATCGGACCCTTTTTGCACATCTCTCGGGAACCATCGAGGGCTTCAAGCGCCCGGCGTTGATGGTGGTGCCATCGCCTACCACATCCCAGGAACTCTCAGCACCCCCCCAAGACCCCTGCAAGTTCTGCAAGTTGTTGTTTTGACAGTTCCGCAATCGAACACTCAAACGAACAACAACACAAAACAAACGAACAAACAAACGAACGGACAAAACAAGTAAAACAAAACACAACAAAACAAAACAAACAAACAAACAAGCAAAACTAAAAACAATCAAACAACACAACCAAACAAACAAACAATCCATCAACGCACAAACAAACAATCCATCAAATAAACAATGACACAAAGACACAAACAAACAAACAAACAAACAAACAAACAAACAAACAAACAAACAGGCAAGCAAACAAACAAACAAACAAACAAACAAACAAACAAACACACAATCAATCAAACAAACACACAAACACACAAACAAACAAACAAACAAACAAACAAACAAACAAACAAACAAACAAACAAACAAACAAACAAACAAACAAACAATCACACAAACAAACACAGACACACACAAAACAAACAAACAAACAAACAAACAAACAAACAAACAAACAAACAAACAAACAAACAAACAAACAAACAAACAAACAAACAAACAAACACACAAACAAACAAACAAACAATCACAAACAAACACACAAACAAACAAACAATCACAAACAAACGAACAAACAAACAAACAAACAAACAAACAAACAAACAAACAAACACACACACACACACCACACACCACACACCACACACCACACACCACACACCACACACCACACACCACACACCACACACCACACACACACACACACGCGGGCACACCCATCTTGAGTTCCCCCAAAACAAACCCCCATGCCCGACGTGGGTGGTCCGACCTTTTCGCTTTGAGGACGATTTTTCTCCGCCTGACTTGGCTGCGTCAGAAATCTCCATGGTCTCAGGCATGGCGAGGACCTGAGAGGCCGAAGCTCTCAAGGCCTTTTGCTTGGATTGTCATCACCTGTGCTGTTTAATGGCAATCCCCAAAAAAGGCCTGGGGGAAGAATTGGGTCATGAAGCACCGGACGTCGTCCAGTCAACCAGGTTCCCTATTTGTCGGTGAACAGGGGCGTCACTACTGTGGATTGCTGGTTGCCAGGGAATGAGGCAGTTTCGACCTCTCAGAACCAGTCCTTATAGCTTTGAATGAAGGGAATCCATTGGTTCATTCCCATCCATGCTGATTCCCCACTGAGATCCAACAACATACTGTCAATGGACGAACTCCAATTCACACCACTTAAGCAGCCCTGGTTTCTGATTCGATCCCCCTGGAAATACCAACAAGGGCTTCCCGTGGTTTCAAAGTGCCAGGATTTCGTCCATCCACAGCATGGGTGGTTTGGGGTTTAAGGATGGTTTTCCACTAACCCTCTACAAGAACCAGGGATTCCAAAACCTACCAACTAAGTGCCACCTGCTACCCGAAAATGCGCCACCCACGCCACTGACAAACAGAAAGCACGCATGGCACACACCCGCTTTTTCTTTCACCATGCCCGCCTTTCTCCACTGAACAAAACGCAACGTTTTTGTACACCCATTTTTAGAAGGACCGTCTCCCATTTACCCTCTACGAGAGCTAGGGTTCCAAACCACCAATCGAACAAAACGCAACATGGCACCCGCTTTTGATGGCTTGAAGCACCTCCTTGATGCCAGCCTTGGGCATGCAAAAAACGTCTCGGCTCATTGACGCCCTTCACGAAACCCACCTGGGTGTATTGTTCTTGGAGTTGGTGGATCGCGCTTGTTTGAGAAACCACAAGAGAACCCACTTTGAGGGTCTCTCGGATTGCTTTTGTTTGAGAAACCACAAGGGAGCCCATTTTGCAAATTTGGAAGGTCTCTTGTAGAGACACAAGCACTAGGGTGCTCCAACTGTTGCGCCATGTCCGGCACTGCTGGGACTCCCACTGGCGGCTGAAGATAAGACGGGCGGGCTTGAGATGTCAAAAAACAGCTCCGCACGCAAGGCTTCACTTAGACGCAATGAGAGCCGGACAAAAGGGCCTACCCCAAACACGCAAAGACGCGTCCGCACTCTTCATGACTGGAATACCTTCAACTAAGCTGCAGAAATCTCTGCAAGTAGGGCGTAGGCTGCCCTGCTCAACAGCAGCACACAGCGACAGTTTCAACAGGCCCGGAATTTTGGAATTCTCGAATCGCTCGCATGTCAGTTTTGTAATAATGCTATGTTTTTGCTACTGCATGTAGGGCCTCCGACTATCAGACTGTCGTGATCAAACACGCTTGCCGCAGAAACGTGCGGCAGTATCGCCTAAATACGCTTTTCCAACTGATCGCCGCTTGGAGGGCAACATGCCGCAACTGCTTTGTCTAAGCCCAGCAACCAATGAATATGATAATTTGCACATTTAAATACTAGCAGGCAACCTGTCAGCACAACTGAACTAGCAATTGATATGGAGCACACACAAAGCAGAATGCACTGCTTCTTGCCTGCCTTACTACATTCGAACATCCATCTGCCACCTGCTTCAGCGGACCTCGCTCTAAGCGGCGTGGCGAAGAGCAACGCACACATCTCGACTGCCACAGCCCTCTGACTGAACAAAGAATCTTCCACCTGTTTGTGTCACGTCGAAAAATATCGGTTGCTTTCTAAGTTTTAGCGGTTTAATGGAAAACCCATGAGTTGGTAAAAAGTTCAAGTCCTAACATCCAAGCAAAATGAGCCAAATAAATGTTGCTTGATCCAAGTACCCCGACATCGTCTTGAGGAAGGCAGCTGAAATTCTGAAAGCACGATGAGTGTACGCCTGGCCAACACAAAACCCCCTTCTCCCCTGTCTACTATGCCATTGCATCTCACTAGTGCCGCGCCGTGGCAATAGATTTCAATGGATTCAATGGGAAACAGTCTCAAGAAAAGGGCTGATGCGCATAAATCGACAGTGTCCATCATGTAATTCCATTGATAACACCCTGAAAAAGACTGTCGAACCCGGTTGATGGGCATAAATCCTCATGGATAAACAATCATTCAAGTCCATCCCCCATATAAACCGCTTCCATTGCAAGTGTCCAAGCCCTGCGACCTGATCATCGATCATCCTGCCTGCGGGCATTGCCATCCGCGAGCAGCAGCCTGCGCAATGACAAAAACACATCTATATATATATATACCCGCAGCACGGCTGGTTGACCGTCACTGGCTGCGGTAGTTGCTGCGGCGCCTCAACGGGAGGGGAGGGGGGGTAATGTTGTGCTTTGTCGACTGCGAGCTTTGAGCCTTGCTTTGCCACGATTCGCACGTTTTGCAACATGTGCTCCGCAGTCATTATGGGCTTTGCTTGTAACCCCTCTGCACATGTCGTCGGTTGAAGCCTTGGCAATCATTATTTTGCTGCGTCTTTGTGGATGGCGAGTGCAGCATGTCCCTCCAGCTCTACGCTCTGTTGCCAGTTTTTTTCCTTTGCCCGCTGCAGGAACTTGACGAATTTCACCTGGCCTGTTTTGGCATAAATGAACACATGGTTTGCTCTTCTTTAAAGAGACCACGATTAGCAGGGGTGTCTCACCTACGTAACATATTCAATCCAGTGACCACTTAACAAAATAAATAATAATAAAAAAAGGAGCCTTCGCCCGCCGCACACTGAAGAAAATCACCCAGAAACAGCTGGCGACTGAAAGTCGCACATCCTTCCAACTAGCGGCAGGAGATAATAAGGCCGAGGCTCGTTTGGGAGCGGTGAAGCGAAATATGCGAAGATTGGGCTGTTAAACAACTGTCAGGGCGCTGGAACGGTTCTTCGAAGAAGAAGCGTTGTCAAGTGCTTGCGTCGGCTGCTCTACGCAGAATGCCGGGATTTAATACCGTGGTACTGGCTTGCAAAGCCTACCGCCTGGCTCTTTCACAAGGGAATGTGAAGCTTTCCCCTCGTGAAAGTTACGTTGCAGAGCATTTGCTTTGGCTGAACGCGTGAAAAGATGGCTGGGGATGCGTGGTAAATGTAGTAAGGTTGGAGCCGACGGCAAACCATCCGTCTTGGGCGTATATATTTTATATATATATATAACCCCTCAAGGCTCCAAAATAGCCCCGGTAGCCTTCTTCTTGGCGGCCCTGAATGGGGGATCGCGCAAATGGAATGTCTCCTGGGCAAATTTGGGCGGAATTGGTTTCTCGGTTGGTGCATACCTTTTGTCACATCCGGTTTCTCGGGCTGCTTTGTTTTTGTCTGAAACTGCTTCAAATCCAAGCCCGTTACGGTGTCCCCCGGCAAAGGCTCTCTCATTGTTGGAGGTCCAGAAAAATACGATTCCCCAAGTTGGGAATACTAAACGGAAGCCCTTCTAAAAGACCTGCATCACTTGCGCTTGCTTTCCCCCCAGGATAGCTCATGGCGTTTGCAGAAGAGTCTTGTTTCCTATTGAAAAGTGAGCCGCAAAGTAAAACTAAAAGCCCAGATCCAATGGAAATGCCCTTCGCCAATACTGCGAGAGATCAATAGGGAACTATCCAAAACAGAAACCTAGTGAATCCATCAAACAGATGAGGGACCACACCCCCAGTAGTTTTGTCCGCTGCTTCCGTTTTGTTGCTTTTCTAACATGCTCTCGGACGGCACAACAAACCCGCCCCTGGAGGTTCCTCAAATTCAGGGTTCAACCCCACGTGTCTGGATGTGTTCGGTTACAGTTTGCCTGTCCAGCCTGTCTCTGCACCTCCGCAGGCCATATTGTAGAGGTACAGCATGCACGTGCAAAGAGATCATGCCCGGCTGGGCGGTTCCTTTGTCGAATCCTTTTTTGGTGGGTCCAGCTTGGAATACCTTCAAAATCTAGGAAACAACTACCAACAAAAATTAGGGGGCCATACATTGTGCCACAGTACGGAAGGGACCACCCTGCCCAGTCATGCATGCAAGCGACCAGGGCACTTTGTGTTTCAAGGGCTTGTGCTTGTGACTAAGGGAAAATAAGCTATGGTGGTCATAAGCCACTGCTCCACACAAACAGCCGTCTGCAGCATTTATTTTGCACTCGCTTGATTTCTCAGGCAGCCCTATTGACCACTGACAATCATTCATCATAAATTGACCATTTGTGCGTTGCTTACCTTCCGGCAGCGAGCTGGAGAAGGGACGCCAGGCGACAGGCAGCTCAAGGCAAAATCTGACATGGACTTGCTGCAGGCATCTTGGGTCACCCCCCCCCCCCCCGCAGCTTCCCCTTAGTGAACCACACCAGCATACATGCCATACGCTCCAGGTTCCCACCGCGCCCCCAAAAACGAAAGAAGAACAAAGGAGACGAATAGCAGCCACAATGTCTGCACTGGGCGCTCTTTGGGCCAGCTCTCACAACGCCAACACCCA